TGGCGCCTGCATATCGCAAAATGTGAAGAACGATGTTACGGGTCAGTGATCCATATTCAATTTCGCTCTAGTTGCAAATAAGATACACGACTTCCGAATTATTCTAATGCATTTCTAATGAATACTCCAATGCATATTTAATACATTGCACTTAAATTTGCGTAAATAATAAACAGATAATGACAGATGATCTCGAGAACAAATTCAGGAGGAGAAAATGAAGTCGAAAGATTTTGACAAAATTGACGCAAAATACGGAGACGAAATAATCCCAGCAAACACAGTATATAAATGTTATATACTTAAGCATGTTACATGTAACGTATATGTTAGTTGTAATTCCCCACTCATAGATGTAACATTTTTAATATTACATATATTACATTGTAGTTATATTGTCATTATATCCCAAGATAGCACTGACTTATCAGTACATCAATGTGCTATTTGGTATATAAAATTACAATATAACTACAATGTAATATATGTTATATTAAAATGTTACATCTATGAGTGGGAAATTACAACTAACATGGATGTTACATGTAACGTACACGTTATATTCCGTTTTATTATAGCAATAAAACAATTATATATCGGTGTTTGCTGGGAAGACGAAATAATCCCAGCAAACACAGTATATAAATGTTATATACTTAAGCATGTTACATGTTACGTATATGTTAGTTGTAATTTCCCACTCATAGATGTAACATTTTTAATATTACATATATTACATTGTAGTTATATTGTCATTATATCCCAAGATAGCACTTACTTATCAATACATCAATGTGCTATTTGGTATATAATTACAATATAACTACAATGTAATATATGTTATATTAAAATGTTACATCTATGAGTGGAAAATTACAACTAACATGGATGTTACATGTAACGTACACGTTATATTACCTGTTATATTCCGTTTTATTATAGCAATGTAACAATCATATATCGGTGTTTGCTGGGATAGATATTATAAATTACAACAAATAGTAATAGCTTCCAAGTATTTTGAAGAGACATTGAAGTTACTGATTTAATTTCATTGAAAGTTTAAGTAATGCTCATAAGCATTGCCGAGCCAGATATCAGGTCCATTCGGACCCATCTCTTGCTGAATGTCAACCGTCAAAGCGTCACTCGGGCTTTGTTTCTCGGCGTTTCAGGCAGTCCTGGGGAGAAGAGGGAAAGGGATAAAACAAACGACGATTGACGCTTTGACGGTTGACATTCAACAGAGATGGGTCCGAATGGACCCGATATCCGTCGACCGAAGGTTAATTTAACTCTGTATACTGTCTGCATATATATAGATCTCGTGTCCATCGGAAGCAGAGAAGCGCGTATCTTCGCGCCCTTCAGACCAAAAATAGTTATAAACAATTAGGAATGAAGTTTTCTTCTCCCTCGAGTGCTTGACATTTTCAGCTTTTTTCGCGACCCCTTTCGCTCCCGAATTCGAACCCCTTTCGGGACCCTTAAAAACGAAGTTAATGGGTTAAATCGTGTCTAGGTTAAATAAACATTTGCAGAAGGATATATAAGCGTGCGAGTGATTCGCGAGCAATTATCTCGACACTACTTGAAACGAGAATGAGTGTGCATGTTACAGGATGTACGATACGCGTGTGTGTATATATATGTGTGTGTGCGTGTGTAGGTATACTTAGGGATAAGATAGGATACGCTGAATCATCGTATATCTATACGAATTTCGCATTTTTTGTCGCAAAAGCAGGTTGTCCCGCATAATTACTTGACACTTAAGCGGTTATCGGTTCGCTTCAATTCACGTGACTTTACTTCGCCAGCTCTTAAGCTGATTATTCGCGCTTCCGCTTTTCGCGTCAAGTGACAAACATGCTCTATATTTCTGAAGGGGAGATAGTGATGAAGCGGAATTTAGAGAAACGAAAAATTCTTTTGTGTCAAATTTTAATTATAAAACAGGGGGAACACAGTTGTGCGGAAATTGTTTATAGAAAATCGCGGGAGAGAGAGAGAGACGAAATTTTTGTGCACCGTAAATTCGATATCCAAGAGTACAAGTTCGCGAGAAAAAATCCCTCTATATTACAATTTTTTTACGTTTATTTATCGATTCGTAAAAATTTAATAAAAATGACAATTGTTTTTCGAAAGGAGGAAGCGCGCGGCGTTGGATCTCATCAAAAGTTTCCACGATTCGTATGAACCAGAAAGGGAACTACAAAAACACCGAACTTGATTACATTTAATTTGAACCAGTGGTCGCGAACGTACTGATGTGCAATACAGATAAACTGTTGTTTTTCGCAGAACGGAGAAACAGGAACAGCTGTTTGCGCTACGCAAATTTAATGACGCTACAAAGAATTTATCGTTGCTAGCGCAACTAAATAAACGAACAAAAGCCTACACATATTACACTTTGTTAGAAAGATCACTTCGACGTGGAATTATTTGCATAGCGTTCATGAGCGTAAAGGGGGTAAAAGAGGACGTTTGTTCCCCGTTAAAACCGGTAAACAATTAAGTATTTGCTCCCCTTTTGAGTAAATTGGAATTTATCTGCATATTTAATATAAGGAAATAAAAATAACCAAAAATTAAATTTAAATAAATAAAAAAAGAACAAAAAAATAAGAAACAAATAAATTTAATCGTATCCCACCTTGGAAAAAATCCGTAAACAATTAAGCATTTGCTCCTCTTTTGAATAAACTGGAATTTATTTGCGTATTTAACATAAGACAATAAAAATAAAAAATTAAATTAAAAAAAAAAATAAAGAAAGAACAAAAAATAAGAAACAAAAAAATTTAATCGTATCTCACCTTGGAAAAAATCCTGTGCTCATGATAGCATTATCCTTTATCCTGCCTGTGCATTTTTTTCGCGCTTCTTGTTATGCAAATGTTATATACCTACATATATATATATCGTTCGAAAAAAAAGTAAAAAAAGTATCATGATTTGCTGTCCTTGACGTAGGAGAAAAACTACTCGTTCAATTAACTTTTTCATTCGTCTGCTCTCTCTCTATCCTCCCCTCGATCTCGTCGGGTCTTCCCTATACATGAATATATTCCCAAGAGCGGACCCTGTCGGGCTTCGTTGTGTTTCAATATCTCGTACAACGCATTGGAATCTCTTTCGAATTACAGCGTTGACGTTTTTCAGCTTCGTAATAGTATTCCTCCATCACTGATGAAGCATCTCCTTAAATAGGTGCTTTTTTGTGTCTCTGTCGAGTGAATGTAAAATATGACAAAATGGAAAAAAAATTGAATCAAACTTTTCAAGCAAGATAGGCTCGACATGTTTTAATGTCATCTAAAAAAATATCGTACACTGTAATAGAAGAAATTATTTTCGTAACTCTTTGTTGTCGAATATGTCTAGTAATTTTTATCATAAAAAAATTAATTAAATTGTTTTCGATATTATTTCAAGTATTTGAGCGCCTCTAAATTTTTCCATAATATATTTGACCTAAAGTGTGAAAAAAACAGATTTAAATGAAGTATTTAAATGAAGTAAAAAAAAAAATCATAACTCAATATCGCAAAAGTATGAATAATGATATTTAAACTATTATTGTCAAAACAGAGTTTCAAGTAATTTTTCACTTTTCTATTTTGCATCTTGATAAATAAGAGCGATCAATCAAATCTAACGTGTGTATAACGAGGACACGTGTAGCCTTTGTTTTTTTGATTCAAGATAAATATTCTTACGTTTCCCCCAAAAATGTCTGACGCGTCTCATATATCAAAAAGACATCTATGGCAGGATCATATTTTGAATTACACACACACGCGCGTGCGTACGCATACATATATATATATATTTACCTACAAATTTTTTCTAGTGGGAAGCATGATTAAAATATTTTTATTTAAATTTTTTTTTTAAATTTATTTTTTTTTTTTATCACGTGCAAATAAATTGCAATGTTCGTTCAAATGGAAAGCAAAATTTTGTGCTGATTCCAGAGTCGAGAGAGGCAAACGCCTATACACATATATACATACCCATACACCACAACAAGATTGCAGCAGCATTGTGGCAACATTTTATTGCAATATTACAACATTGCATAAACATTGTAAAATGTTGCAGCAATCTTGCTGCAAGGTTGCAGCAATGGTAAAATGTCCGCTTTCAGAAACATTGTTCTATAACATTGCAGCAATAATGCAACAAAATATATATGTAATATTACTATTGGAAATGTGCCAAATACATGATCGGACTGAATGGTCTGTACCTAATATTTTTTGCGTAAATTTTATTTTTATAATATTTCTGAAATGTTGCTGCAACGTTGTTTAAACTATATTGCAAATTCCTATATAGTGCCTATATAATATTTCTGCAATATTGCTACGCAATGTACAATATTGCAATGTTGTTGCATATGGGTATATATGTATATACTCATACAGCACACAAGTTTGCAGCAATATTGCAACAACATTGCAATATTGTATATTGCATAGCAATATTGCAACAACATTGCAATATTGTATATTGCATAGCAATATTGCAGAAATATTATATAGGCATGAATTTGCAATATTGCAGCACACAAGTTTGCAGCAATATTGCAACAACATTGCAATATTGTACATTGCATAGCAATATTGCAGAAATATTATATAGGCATGAATTTGCAATATAGTTAAAACAACGTTGCACATAATATATACTGTATTATGAAACCTTAATACATCATCAATGATATTGTCTTAATGATAATCGTAACCGTTCCTACTTTCCTTGATCCATATTATTTACCGCTATCGACCTCGCTTCGGCACTTATCTCTTTTGTTTGATAAACGGTAAACACGCGAACATCCACGCACATACACACACGCACACGTCCAATATCGGTGCGGTGGTGCGTGATGCTCGTTCGAAATTTACATAGTGCGCGCGATGCGCGTAATCAACGGCTAATCAGGGGAGAGAGAGTGCCCACTCGCCGAACACACGGCGTGTTATCACGCAAACACGCGAAGCGTGCGACGCAGATATAACCGATCGCTAGTTCTCGCGTTCGCTTATAGCGCCTGAGACCCCGGCCGGTCCCAGGGGCACCAGAAGAGGGAACTCGACATTCTTCGCGAGATCGAGTCGAGTATCGATCGAGGTTTGTGCGACGATGACGATCCCCGGCGTTTTCCTCTTCGTCTTTCTCGCGATCGTCCTGAGCGACGCCGCCTCCGTCAGGTATGGATCGTCCGATGACTCCTCTGGACCCAAGGATGCCTGTGACAGGTGAGTGAAAGTATTACAATAACACCGCGGCGATTGTTGAGCTTCCTCGTTCCGTTCTGTGATTGAAGGAGATCAAGTTTACGATCGAATTGTTATGCTACTCCCTCGTGGTCTGCTTGTCTGTTATACTTATCTCTTTTGGTGCATCCTTTTAGTTGTGATAATTGGATTCGACGTTTGGGAATTTATTTTTTTGTTACATACATTTATTGCATTTTTATTATATTATTATTATTATTTTTTTTTTTATTATATTATTATTCTTATTATATTTATATATTGCGTTAATTTTGTAATACATTAAACTTTTTTGATGCATTTTTTCAGTTATAATTTAATTGGATTCGAGAATTGAGAATTTATTTTTTTATTTGTTACATATATTTATTACATTTTTATTGTATTATTTTTTTAAAATAAACAAAACAAATAAGTAGGCTCGTGTAAAATGACAATTAATAAAAAAGATAACTATAAATATGACTATAATATTAATTTTTGATTTTATCAAATAAAAATATTTTAACATCCAAAAAACATTTTTGCTCGTTTAGTCGGCCTTTCTTACTTATAGTCATTTTTTCTATTAATTGTTACTATTTTTGTAATTATTATATTATATTATATTATTATTCTATTACATTTATATATTGCGTTAATTTTGTAATACATTAAACTCTCTTGATGCATCTTTTTAGTTATATAATAATTAGTTTCGAGAATTGAGAATTTATTTTTTATTTGTTACATATTTATTACATTTTTGTTATACTATTATTCTATTACGTTTATATATGCGTTAATCTTATATATGTGTACATATGTTTGTATATGCACGATTAATCTTATGTTCATTCATGAGTCGCATGTCAATATTAATGATGCATTTCAGGCTTCCGCTTCGTATCTATAATTGGCCAGTTTCAAACAATTTTCGAGCTTGCTATTTTTAAAATAATGTTTAAAACTAGCCAATTATAACAAAAACCTAATGCGCGACTAAATAAGAATATGCATTAGTTTATTTATACATATAGAATATATAATATTTTTTAATCACTTTTCAAAAGATATTCAAATGGAAAATGCAAATATAAAGTGTAAACAAAGCATGTATATCAATTTTAAAATGTTTTACTCCTTTTGATAATCTTTGATTAAAAAAAACTTTTATCTTCTTGTATTATCCAGATTAAAAATTTCAAAGTTCATCTCGATTGAAGCCATCTTTTTGAAAAACAGCGAATTAACCCTGATGTAGTCACTTGACTTATTTTAGTGATCCTCTGTGGGTCGCCTTATTGACAGCAGGTGAAACTTTCGCCATTGTTTCGAAGAGACATGCTTATGCTTTCCGTTGAAATATTTATCGCATAGTGAAGAAGGCAACTTCTTGATCTTTGCACACTTTTCTCTCTCCTTTCCTTTTCCTCTCTAATATATTCTCATCGTAATTGAACCGATTACTTCCGTTACTTTTCGCTTTACAGTTTAATGAAACAAGAATAATTAAAATAATCGCATTACACGCTCGGTTAGCGATTGTCGTTCGTCAGTTATGAAATAAGTTGGCTACCCCGAGTTTCCCAAGCCGATTTGGGCTATTACTGCGAAAGACAAAAGTTACATATCCCATTAAATGATTAGTCTTGCTTAATTATACGTTAATGCAGGTATTGATTAAACACGTCGAGAAATTGCACATTTGCTACTTTATTCTCTCATTAAAGAGATAATATTAATTATCACTGTAATATTTAAAGCTCACTTTACACCTTGCGGAGGAAATTTACTTTAACCCTATAATTTATTCTAACTTTACGATCATATTCATTACATTTTTATTATATTATTTTTTTTTTATTTTATTTATATTATATTATTATCTTTTTTATAATTTTATTTATATTATATTATTATTCTCTTTATATATTGCGTTAATTTTATAATACATTAAACTCTTTCGATGTATCTTTTTAGTTGCAATAATTGAATTCAAAAATTGGAAATTTATTTTTTATTTGTTACATATATTTATTACATTTTTATCATATTATTATTTTTGTCATTAGTAAATATATATTTACGCGTTTATTGCATGTCGGATGAAAGCGTGCGAATCATCAACCAGTCACTCCGGAAATTTAGGGGCGATAACAGCTTATCTATTCGTAGCCCGATAACCGTTCACTTACATACATCGTTACCCATCATTCTCAACTTTGTTGATTTTTTTACAGCAACATCTAGAATGCATTACTCGAATGCTGAGTGATAGTTTCGAGTAAGTGTATTTCCGCGTATTGCAGATTATAGGTTTATCAGAGGCTTATCTCATCAGACTTATCGCGATGGACAAGGACAATGTAGCCTCTCGTTTCATTAACGTCGACGATTAATCGCGGTTGCAATTTAATGACAATCTAATAACCACATATCGAGGCGCAATAATAATTGCGAATTTTGAGAAACAAGCAATATAGATAATAAATTTCTAAACATGTGTTTTATGAACCTTTGAGCATCCTAGTTCACTTGACAAGATCGAGCGAAATTTTATATTTAAAAATTCAATAAAAAAATGTCGACGTCTCGAGAGCGAAACTTTCTGAAAACTTTTCACTTGGAAAAGTTTCACGCGCACTCTCGTAACCGAAATTTCGTTCTTGTTCGTCCACTCGAAACAGCAAAGTGTCCGTTTTATTTTTCCCGGCGAAGAAAACGGTCTTCCACTTCACGAAAACGTGTCTCTTTAAAATTTTCGCTTTCTTTTCGATTTCTCTCTTCGTATAAAGCGAAGTGTTCTCTCTCGGTGGGTTCTTCGTCTCCTTTAATCCATCAAAATCCCATTATGGTACAGCCACAGTGGATAGGAAACGCCCTCGTTCGATTCATCGGACGGATGGGGTTAAGACGGATCGACAATCGTTCACTTTCTCATACGAATCACTTGGAATGAAAGACAAGCGGGCGATATTAACGCCAAAAAAAAGCCGCGTGTCTGACGTGACGTGAAAAGTAGAGTATTTCCTCTTTTATTTACGTTGGATGAATTCAGGACAGTGCTGGCTGTTATCTAAATAAAATGATCATTTGATGAAACTTTGGCGTGATCTTATCTTTATATAGATAATCAATACTTAAATAGTAGAACTTAAGCAGTAAGCGATACAAATTTATAAATAAAAATATGAATACATATATTTTTATAACTTTTATAATTTTATAATTTTTATAATTTTTTTATAAAATTTATCTAAATAAAATGATCATTTGATGAAACTTTGGCGTCATCTTATCTTTATATAGATAATCAATACTGAAATAGTAGAACTTAAGCAGTAAGCGATACAAATTTATAAATAAAATATGAATACATATATTTTATAATTTTATAATTTTTATAATTTTTTTATAATTTACATTTTTTCTAATAATTGTGTTTACATAAGCAGTCTTAAAAATTATTATTTAGAAAATTATCTAGATGAATCGCCATATAATTTTATCTTGTATATTTAAAACAAAATTGTCTTCATCTTAGATGAATTCACATATTTTTATCTCATCTTTATCTAGTTAATTTTAAAATCATCTAAGCACAACACTGATTAAGGATAAAATGAGGATGATAATCGATTACAAATATTCTTCATTTATTCTTTTATATATATTTTTTAAATGTATTTTTATACATTATAAAAATAAACAAGATTATTTTGAATAAATCTATTTTATATCAAACTATTTTCCTCTCATATGAAAGATTATCACATTTTGCTCCTCGGAAAGCACTCTAGGAACTGGTTTTGACATGGAAAAGCGTCTGGTTCTCCTTTTATATAAGAAGCATTCAATACCGCGTCGCGAATCTTTATTGCTCAAACATTGAATATAGAGAGAGAATCTTCTGCTCCTCTCCTGGATGTCAAAAGCTCGCGAGATTGAAGATTTGGCGAATTTCATATACGTGTGAATTTTTGATAATAAGGAATTAATCCTCGGATGATAAATTCTATTATCCTTTTCGGGTTTTCGTACATCGGGGAACCCTCGACGAAAAGAAAGGGCGACGAGAACGAATAGACACGATTCCTTCATAAAAATTAGGATCAAGCTAAATTTTTGTTTGAAAAGTGCTCTTAATTTCATCCTGGGTTTTTTATAGGGGGTAAAAAAGGGTAAATTTTAGTTCTCTTGCCATTATCTCGAAAACTATCAATTTTTCGAGAAAAATAGTTATCATCAACATTGTAGCTAATAAAATTCTCTACAAAAAAGGTCATTATACTTTTTTTCGTGGAGTTAACCGTTTCGAAGATATAGAGCAAAGTAAGTCTGAAAGAGAAAATGTGCACACTACTATATAGATAGATATTGCAACGTTATCGCACGTTTTACTCAAAAACAATTAGTTACACAAAAACAGTATAATGACCTTTTTTGTAGAGAATTGTATGAGCTACAATTTTGATAACTATTTTTCTCGAAAAATTATAGTTTTCGAGATAATGGCAAAAAATTGAAATTTATCCCCATAAAAAAAAAGCCTGAATGAAATTAAAGGTACTTTTCAGGATTTCATTAGAACATCGAAATAAAGGTCTCCACAAAAATTCAGCTTGGTCCAAATTTTTATGAAATCACAGTCTAATTTTACTGGACTATACATCGATGAGTAGTTTTCTCGGCGGGAAACGAGAACGGAGAAGCTTCATTATGCTCCAAGGATCCTGTATTCGTCATAAAGACAATAGGCCGCACGAGTTTCTGCTACACTATATAGGAGTAACTTCTCGTTCCCGCTTTTCAGCCATGCAACTTTCTTAGCTGATTTTATGGCCCGTCGGTTTCAGGAAGCAGAAATTTCGCATTGGATCGACGTCAATGTCGACGCGGCTGTCGAGGAAAAATATAACAGTCTGCGAGTTTGGCTTAAAGTCGTCGTTTCCCTTAAACTCGATTATACTTGGTCAGAACGGACTCTTCTTCTTCCTCTTCTTGTCTCGGTTATCCGATGCATTGGAAAATATATATATGACGTTTGATATATCTTACGATAAGATAGTTGATTGAAAAAGTTTGCAAAACAAGGATAAAGGAGGCATGTAAGAGTGCACCGAATGAGCGAATTTCTCTTGTTAGCTATTGTACGATATAAATTTCAAGTCGATATTCTCTTCCCTTTAGCAAAAAAACTTGGAAAGATATCGCCCCATTAAAAAGTTCGTTATTTTCAGCATTAGTTTGTTGGAAATAATATTTTTCATATATAATGAAACATTTTTACCTATCTACGCGCTAACGTTTACATTTTATTTATTATTAAATTCCTTAATAAATCAGAGTTATATAGAAGATATATGATGTGACTTCTTTTTGAAATATATCTCGACTTTAATTTTACTTTGAAGAAAATGTTACGCGTTCTTTGGAATCAAATAAATTATACACCATTCTCGACCGTTTCTCGTGCACGTAATTAATTTCGAAAATATAAAGATAATATTAAGTGACTAAATATTTCGATAATATCAACGTCTACGCATAATTCTACAATTCATTTAAATTACGTGCCCCAATTTCGTTAATCATTTAGCATTTAATTTCAGACCGCCAGGGGTTCATATGCCATTTCGTTAAATATGCAGTCCACTCGAAAGACAGAGTTCACGAAAAAGGTTATTTTCGAGAGAGCGTATAATAAACGGATGAGAGTGTCTTTATTACGCGGCTGACATTTTTAAGAAAAAGGGGCTTTTTATATCAAAATGTCTTCGACTTTTATTATTAAATTAGTTGCTAATTAAACTTGTGACACGAGCTGTCGCTTCTCTCGAAAAGCTGCATGAGACAGTTTAATGTCATCAAGTTTATCTATTTTCATAGATGATGGAGATGCACTGTTTTTTTTTTTTTTTTTTTTTTTTTCATCGTATAGCTCCAATGACTTGTTTTAATTCGCCCGCTATTTACTGTACCAACGCGGTTGTGTTGATACAGTTGCGTATCAAATACAGTCCCGCAAAATCTATTAATTTAACTGTTGCCCGCCTGTCGAACGCACAGCTATCACGTACTACAAACATCGTTATGTACAAACGCGCGTGATTGGATTAATCATTTTTATCGAGACCTAATTGTTGCGATGTTTGTTAATTACACTTTCTCGTTTTCCATCATCTGGTGCCTCACGCCGAGGATTGTATTGATTTTCAGCAAGGTTTATTGCGAAGGACCGCTGCTGAAGACGGTGCAGCTGGCCGGGATTTTAATGATAGCAAGACCTTCGTGGATCTTTACCAACTTCACGATCCGAACGTAACGCTGAACAAGTAAGTTGATATCTGTGTTGTTGCAAAAAGCGAATCGAAGAATATAACAAGCTTAATATATATTTCTCCCTTTTCCTCGTCTACAGGGTTGGGCAGATATGCGTCTTAAAGTATCTGAGATACGTATTGAAATATGTATCTTATTTAAATACAGTTTTTATATCAGAAAAAACTAGAATAATCTGAATAATCATATTTCGAATTTTGTAATTCATTATTTAATTTAAATGTATTTTGTATTTAAATACAGTAAATACAGTATTGTATTTAAATATAGTATTTAAATACTGAATAATCAAGTATTTCAAATTTTGTAATTAATTATTTAATTTAAATGTATCTTGTATTTAAATATATTTACATACATAATATATAATAATTAAATGTATTTATATATATATATATATATATATATATATATAGTATTTAAATGTATTTACGTACATATATATATATATAAATTTTATTTTTTAAATAATAGTAGATATTTTTTTTGTAATTATATATATGCTTTAATATTAAGTATATATAGTATATAATCAGAAAATAAAAAAAATAATTGTATTTAAAAGTATTCATAAACATATTTAAATACAATTAGTATTTCAAATTATTTCAAAACCAAAGTATTTCAGTAGTATTTAAATATATGTCAAACAGTATCTTTTGTATCTTGAATTTAAATATTTTGTTTCGAAATATCTGCTCAACGCTGCTTGTCTAAAGAATTACATAAAATAGGAGTATTCTCAAATATTTTTCTCCACCTTTCACACTCTCAAAGCAATCAAATCCTTCTTAATGCATTCAATTTTCTCGTTGAATTTTGTACGGCAAAGTTGATGTTTGCTTTATGCTTTTAAAACGTCATGCATCAATTAAAGAAATTTATACGGTGTTTACTATTGAAAAAAAGAGACGAATAATTTTTTTCCCTCGAAGCGTTAATTATTATACAGAAAGAATTTCAACGATTGCATGCATTTTCTAAATTTACATGCTTTTAAGCGAACAAATATTGTAATTTAAATTTCTAACTAATCGTAAAGCTTCATCAGAGTATATAAAACATTTTGCTCCACGCGCATAATCCTTATTGTTTGAATGATCTACTATTATTATTCTTAATAAAGCAAAAAGTAAACTTTGAAACGGAGCGTTGCATATTAATATGTTGGCCAAAAAGAGCAGGAGAGAAAAAGGGAGAGAAGTTTCTTCTTGTATAAATTAATCTTGAAATAGTTCTCTTTTTTCCTTTAATATTTTTAAAATATCTCGATTAATTGAAATGACATGTATTTTTTATATACAAATAATAATAAAATAGAAAAAATATATATAAAGAAACAAGCAATATAACTTTCAAAAAATGAAGAAAAAATAAGACCCGAATCAATTAAAAAAAATATTGAGAATTAAAATAGCACAATATTACAGACGCAATTAAGTTATAATTTTATAAACAATTAAGCTTATCAAATTCATTTTATCGTTCAAATTCATTTTATTTGCAACAAGTTCTCTTCTTTCCTCTGCTACTTTTTATACATAAATGAGACAAGGACTTAACATTGTAATAAATTAATGGAATCATTAGAGATATATGGATATATTTCCAAAATTTCGCGTGGCCTTGACGTTCGATCTTCCGGCCGTAAACATACATGTCATTTGTACTGGAAGAGCGCGAGAGGGTGTCGCTTTAGGCTAGCTTCATACGAGACGAGTAAGTAATCAAATTCCGTGGTCGCTCGTATGAAGGGGATCTTAATCGCGTCACGGCAGCTGAGAGCAAATACGCGTAGCTTTACTTCACCGACATGCATGATGTATTACGATATATTTGCAGGAAAATTGAAACTTAAATCGAGCAATATCGATATACTTGTACAGTGCCCTCCATAAGTTTCGAAACACCCCAGGTAGCAAGCTGACGTCAAAATGACGTCATTGACGTTTAATGGCGTCAGCTTGCAACCTGGGACCTTACATTTTACAGTTAAACAATCGTATGACAACGATCTGCGTAGATTTTTTGTATTAATAAACCGTAAAATATACAATAAATAATAAATGTTTATTTATAAGACTGTTTTTTGTTATCACGATTAATCATATTTCAAATAATATACTTAAGATAAAAAACACCCCATTAAGTTTATATTCTTGCACGTTACGAATATCTAATTAAAAAAATTATTCTTTAGATAATTTTTCTCTTAAATTAAGAGAATTCTTTTGCAGATTTTTTGTACAAGTAAATTCTAAAATAAACGTAAAATATTTAAATAACATTTTTATTTATAACAGATCGCTGTCGTGCAATTCTTTAACTGTAAAATGTAAAATATTTTCAAATTTATGGAGGGTATTGTATATACTTGTACACGCGTGACAAGAATTCTTTCTTTCGCGGGAATAATGTCGATTTTATATATATTTATTTACGCGCCCGATTCCGCGAAAGAAATGCATTTCTCGGATAATCAATCTTTATCTGTCATTGTTGTAAATAAAAGATGCGATAAAATGCCAACTCGAAACGCAAGATTCGTCGATATCTGCAGACTTGTTTAGATTTTATTAGACTCAAACGCTGTTACTGTTTTATTCATTTATATTATAATTTTCATTATCATGTGCAGAATATCAAATTATATTTTAATATTTTTAAACTAATCACTTCTCTTACCCAAACCTCAAAATTTTGACCATTGTTTAAAAATATTCTGCGTTGTCAAATCATAATTGTAATTTAATTAAAATAAGATAAATTATGGTATATAAGTTTGTACAAAAATAACAATATGGGTTTTTACCATTAAAAAGATATTTGCAAATAATCTCCAAGTCAAAAAATTATAAAAAGATCTTTAATCTTTTATAAAGAAAATGAATAAATAAAATTTAAGTAAATGTGACTAATTAAAAAAATGGAAAAGCGCATAACTGTAAGTAATTTCAACATAAAATTGTGTTGAGTCTAATAATGTAAATGCGTCTGCGTATATTTTCCAGCAACATTTTGCTTAATAAATAATTTCGGTCTTCGCAGATTATCATGTAGAATTAAACAGAGAGAAGAAAAGATAATAAGAACCAGCGCAGTTTCTGAGAGAAAAAGCTCGAGTGTTTATATAATGACCTATTTATACTTATCATTTTATTCATCGTCTCCGATACTAATTTATTTCTATAATGTTAATTTGTTTAAATCAATTTTCAGTTTTTAATTTTCATTTAATTAATCAAGATGACTCCCCCAAAAAAAGGGAAAACGTGCTTGTCCATTTTGAAGTTTAATTTTTCAAATTTAATTTGTTTTTAAATTAAATTTTCTAACAATAAGCTTAATTATATACTGCGCTGGCTCCTGCTAACTTTTTCCCCTGTATTTAATTAAAAGAAGCTTGTATAATTAATTCACTATTTTGATTCTGTCATTTGGAAATTTACACGCGCGTGTCGACAAAGAAGAGTCGGCGATCCTTTGGTTTCCCTAATGGAATCGTGTCCGGAGAGTAAATCTGTCGACCGCTGGCTTGCACGCGACTCTTTCCCTCCATTTGTCCGCGTTAAATCGCTTCCCGTGTCGAGATATTTATGGGTTCCGTTTTACGACATCTCGCGTACATCGTTATACGCGTGCTTGCGTTCGCTCCTCTCTCATTTCTTTCAGAATAATATACGGAATCTCTCCGACTTGGAGCGGACTTTATATATTCCGTTCGCGATTCCGTCGATAACGAGCGAGAAACGTGAATACGCGCGTCGGAATTATTTTCTAGAAAACGGCACCACTCAAGGAATTATCGAATTCCCGCGCGCAAACGTGTCTCTACAAATACGTTACATAAACTGATAATTTAGATGATATTACGTAACAGCTGAACAAATATCGAATGATACGATGATGAAGGGAAAATGAAAATCCGATAAGGTCAGGTATTTCTTGTTATTTGTAAAATAGTACAAATCTAATAAAACGTATACATAAGTGATATTTGTACGTCTTTATCGCAATTATCAGAAATTCCCTATCATATATGAATCATTATCATATGTGCTTTCCATTAGCGAGATAACGCGTGTTTGATTGATGGATGATAAATATCGTTTTACCGAGCAACGTAAAATGAATTAAAATTTATATAAATTTCTAGAACATGATAAGCTTCGATATTGTATGTTTGTCGAGTAAAAAGCTTATATTAATAATATTTTTTATTTTACTTTTTATATTTCATGTATATAAAATCGCAAATTCTTTTCTTCGTTAAATGACCCGCTGAACAATTTTTTATATATAATTATATATAAATTATTGCATAATTATACATATAATCGTAAAATTATATGTGAAATGTGTCTATTTTTATACATAATTATATTAAATTTTAAATATATGAAAATATATATATTATATATATATATATATATATATATATATGAAGAAATACTTATTTATTATATATATATAAATTTATATAATTATATATATAAAAAGAGCACTTTTATCTAATTATGAATGGACCTATTTCATATATAATTTTGCGATTATATGTATATAATTTGATATATTTCTCTATAATATTATATATTTGATATATAATTATATATTTTATATTGTTATATATAAAAAATGTTTTACCGAGGAACTTTGAACAACCCAATAAATTCGGAGTCAACTCGTCTATCTGTCCTAGTTTCGATGCCTTAATGAAGGCAACCAACAACTCTCCTAATCGCGCTGAGGTGGCTGCCTTCGTCTCCGAGAACTTTGCTATGCAAGATGAGCTGGATAACTCGACGTTGCCGGATTGGAACGATAACCCGGAAATTCTGAAATCCATCGAAGATCCACAATTTCGCGAGTGGGCGAAACGTCTGAACTATATTTGGAAAACGCTGGCGAGGAAGATAAGGAACGATGTGGTGATCAACTCGCAACGGCATAGCCTGATCTACGTGAATAACACTTTCATAGTTCCCGGGGGACGATTCAAAGGTGACATTTTGTCGCGAGAGAAATTATCTCTCAAAGTCTTTTTCAAGTCAACGCTCCCCAGGCACCAAACTGACGCCATTTTGACGTTTAATGACGCCATTTTGACATTTAATGACGTCAATTTGCTACTTGGACGTCTCATTTCTTTCCACTCTTAAAGCAAATGAATATATCAGCTAATCCTGATTTATGTATCTTTAAAAATGCAAAAACTCTCTTATTGCCATTAAATTTCACCTTTTTAAATCGACGCGAAGTAGCAAATTGACATTTAATGACGTCAATTTGCTACTTGGGACGTGACATTTTTTTCCACTCTTAAAGCAAATGAATATTTTAGCTTACCCTGATTTATGTATGTCTTTGAATAAGAAAAAAGCCTCTTATTGCCATAAAATTTTAACGGATCTCAAAAGCTTCTGTCTTGAGTTGGATGTTACGTAAACGACTCCCTAAAAATTCCGTTCTTCGCAAACTTTGAAAACAAGTTATATTCGCAGAGTCGCTTGATGGCGGAAAGGTTGACATTTTCGCGACTACTTATTTTTATGTGTTTACGTTGGCAGTAGCGAGAAGTCGTTTACGTACTTTTATGTGTTTGCATTGCCAAGAGTCAAGAAGCGATAATAATTTTTATGATATTTGTTATTATACGCGAACTTTCTTTTTGTCCCTTTGATCCTTTCTTTTTGTAAAACGCGGACGCTTAAAGAACTATCGCGGAGATGACGAGACCCCGAGCTTTATATCGCACTCGCTGTAAAAATAAAGGAGTTTAATTTTTTAATCGATTATATTGCAAGAATTTTATATTAAGAATTTTCTATGTAAAAAAAAAAATATGAAAGGGAAAAGAGGCAAGCTTGCGCACGCTGAAAAGAATTAAATTTGTGCTGCAGAATTTTATTATTGGGACAGCTACTGGATAATCGAGGGACTCTTGTTATGCGACATGCCCGTCACCGTTCGAGGGATGATCGAGAATTTTCTTTCCATGGTGGAGAGATACGGTTTTATCCCGAACGGCGGCAGAGTTTATTACTTGTCGCGCAGCCAACCACCTCTGTTGATACCTATGGTAATTATTCCGTCTTTCGACGAAAGCGCATTCCTAACCGAACCTTCTATCTCTGAATTAGTTGCACTTTGTATAGAGATCGCGTCAATAGCGGCAAATTCCTTTGTACAACGATATTCCGCTTCTCTCCTTCCTTTAAACGATCTCTCGAGGAATTCCTGTAGTTTCATTTTTTGCGGTCTAACACAAAAACCATCTGTTCCAGGTCGCGAAATACTACGACTACACGAAGGATTACGAATTTCTGAGGCGAAACATCGCGACTCTCGATTCGGAATTCGAGTACTGGCAAAAATGGAAGATGGTGAACGTAATCAAGAACGGCAAAACTTACAGGATGGCCCGTTACGTGACAAACAGCAATGGTCCGCGACCGGAGAGTTACAAGCAAGTCTCTTCTTCTTCGATGGATAGGGAGGCGTTTCCCGGACGATCGATACAACTGTCAAAATGCCCGAGAGAATTTATATCTATATAATCGTTCTCTTCATTTTACGATTGCTTGTATACTAGGAATTTACGGACGCGAATCCAGCTATTACCTACCTTTCGATATAATGTCCCCGAGGAAAATTTCAACTTCAAAAACTCATATTAATCAACATTTCAAGTTTGTAGTCAAAGATAAATTTAACACATATGTATATTAGGCTTAATTAATAATTTAATGACTTTTAAATTTTTTTAAGAAAATAATTTAAGAGGAATTTTACAAATCCACAGTTTTAAGTAACAAAAGAATCTGATATGTAAGATGAGATATGGAAAGGCGCAGACAGGGGCAAAGAATTTTTTAAAAATTCTTCTTTAATAATTTTATTTAGAATAAAATTAAAGAGGAATTTTAAGGATTTAAAATTCTAAGTAAATAATAAATATAGAAAAGGCTCTTTAATATATAAAAATTCCTCTTTAATTATTTTGTTCAAACTAATTAAAGAGAAATTTTTTTTAATCTATTGCGCTTGGCTATTTTATTAGCTCTTTTCATATTAAACACTGATCTTATATTTGCATATAATATACAATACAAGTGCGCGCCATTGTCTGATTTCATTTAATGATGTTTATTTTAATTAACGTGAAAATCTCGAAATTTTCGAGAATCGACATAACATATGCCTTTTATAGAAATCGAAATGTGCAAGAGCACGTTTAAAAATATGAGAAAACACGAATCAAATAATCCTTAATTCGATAATAAAAAATAGTTTAAAAACCGTGCCAACATCTAACCTAATAATAAATCACGACCCTAAAATTTCTAAAAAATTAATTATTGCTGTAAATGATTAATACTAAAAAAAAAATGCAAGAGTGTGTTTAAATCTCTCCCTAAAAAAGACATATGTTATTGATTTTCGAATATCTCGGTATAGCCGAAAAAGAAAAGCCTTTGAACTCAAAGTCGGTAAAACAGTCATGGTCAGCATTCTCTTAATAAAAGTAAGCTTCGCATAGAGTCTGCAGGAACAAAATGTCAATTTTTAATATCTACTTTACAACCAGCCAAAAATACATTTATCCATATATTTCAAAAATATTGTACACAAATATAGAGTATAAACACGTGGCAATAAGCAGTAGATCCAATGAGCCTTTATTTCAATTTACTATTTCACCCAACTGAAAGCGTGAAATTTCGCAGAACTCAAGAGATAAAGAAACAGAAATTCGCGGTTTTTTTTCCCTCCACATTGAATTATGTCGACGTAACGTGTAACACGACGCTCGGTCTGTCATCATTTTTCTTCGTAAAGTATCTATATTGCGACAGTTGCATCGATCACCGGGGATAGGGGTGCGCCGTTAATTATAACGGGTGTCTAAGAACTCGTATATATATATATCCCGCAGAGAGGATTACCGTTTGGCCCAGAGACTGTCGGAGGAGAAGCGAGGCGCTCTTTACAACGACTTGAAAGCCGCGGCCGAGAGCGGCTGGGACTTTTCCTACAGGTGGTGCATACGGACCGACGTGAACGGCAATCTCAGTCTTATCAACGCTTCGACCAGCGACATCGTGCCAGTTGATCTCAACGCGCTACTGCAGCGCAACGCCCGGTTGCTCGCCCGCTTTCACGGTATCCTGGGCAACCCCGAGGTAAGCCTTTCGTTAAACTCGCTCCTTCCGTTTGGATTGCTCCGCAAACGAGCGTATATAGCAATCAACCTTCCCGAGGACGTTGTATTTATCGTTTATATGTAGGATACGCGATAATATTATCCGACGAATAAGGGAACTATAACGCGACGCGATCCTTAATTATCACGTGTAATGATTATTAATGAGTCTCCTAGCCGCGTTTCGCTCGTCAATGTATAAAGAGGGGATACTCGGGCGACACACTATTATAAATGGTAATTTCGATAATGTTATTGAATTTCGCGGGAGAAATCGTTTCCCTTGTGAGGTACTGATTCGCGAGAGATTGTGATATAATATTATTGTCGCTGGATATTGTCTGCCATGGTCCCACATCATTATCAGTTATGTATACTCTCTCTCTCTGTGTCTATCGACGTTTCAACTCCTTTCTCTCCTTCCTTTTCTCATTCCAGAAGGTCTGGCGTTACGCCAAAATGGCCGTGGACATTCAAGCTGCCATCGACAACGTTCTGTGGAACGAGGATGAGGGAATCTGGCTCGATTATGACGCGAGAAATAAACGTTCGAGAAATATATTCTATCCCTCGAATTTGTCACCGTTGTACACAATGAGCTACAATTGGAACAGGAGACAGAATTACGCGAAGAAGGCTATTTCTTACCTCAAAAGAAACCAGGTCGATTTGTATTTTGGTAAGTTTCTCCATCGATTGCGTCGACAAACCTCTCCGTCGCGAATGATGGCTTGTTTTTCCAAAGCCTTTTTACGGGGATGAAATATCCCTCTTTTACCTCAGACGTGAAATATCACGCCAAATGTATATTCATTATAAATAATGGGAGGGCTAATAAGCTAATCAAGCGCGACATAAATCCGCAAATAAAATTTTGATAATTAATATACATTATTATTAAAATTATTATTAATATTATAATTATAATTACGGTTTATTTTTACTTCAAACGATCTTCTGATAATTAAAAGTAGATGGAAAAATATATACTCTATTTGTGTATATTAATATTTATATCATATATATATTTTGTCGTCTGCTTTTAATTATATAATATTAATATAATTAATAAAATATTAATAATATTATTAATAATATTAATATAATTATTTAATACATATGAATATATATTTTTGCTTCCTCCGCTTGCTGTGTAAAATATGCATCGATTTGATCTTTTGTTCGCGCTTTTTTTGCTCGTTGAATGTCAGGAGCTAAATTCGAAACATTCCATTTTAACGTCGTATTGAAAAATCCGTACAAGTGCTAATTTAAAATACTCGAGTTTCCTCTTTGGAATCTTTGTTCCGTTTGTTAAGTCGTTCGCTTTTATTCCCTTCGAGCGCTCTTTTATCCCTTCAAAGTAACCGAAATAAAATAAACAAATGGCGGCAGAGAGACGGAAAAATAAGTGGAATAAAAGTGAAACGCATATGGAATCGAAAAGTCCACAAGTTCGGACAGTCCGAATAAACTGACGGTCGATGAAAACCCAACCGTGCGAACAGGATACACGGATTAATCTCACTTCCGCTTACTATCTCCGAGAAAGATGTACAGTGCGTTTCTGCGCGGGCATCGTTTATCTTCCATTTTCTTTTTCAAACTCGCCAAAGCTCGCTCGGCGCATTCTGTTTTTGTCGAGTCACTTCAGAGGGATCGGGGTAAACAATAATTTCGCCGATTAACTCTCTTCAAAGAGAAACTGTAGTGGATTACATACATATACATATACCCATTCACCGGCATATTGAATATCGCGTTCAAATACCAAACTATGTATGTGAAGAGAATTTTAGGAATGCTACAGATGAATTACCTCAAATTGGAGTTCTGCGCGAATATAATTCTTCATCAATAGCAAATTGCGCGAAATTATTCGCGAATCACAATCAGTGTTTATTGCGTCACTCCGATTTACAACTTTATGAGAGTCGACGCAATAATTACGTCCTTAATGGAATATAAAGTATTAAGGGGACTGTTTTACCGATTTTGAGTTCAAGGGCTTTTCTTTTTATCGGTTATACAAATTGAAAAATCCTTCTCCACAATTAAAGTATTGATAATAATAAACGGGGAACGCTGTAATTTCGTATAAAAAACAATAAAAGTTAAAAAATGACAGTTTTTATCGGCCTCTTGCATCAGCTCGTAAGAATACTTATTTAATATAAAAGTTCTGCAGTTTATTTGTGGACAAAATATAGCGCTCCCAATAGAAATGACATGAAAGAATAATACAGAAGTAATAAAAATGAGATTAAAAGCCTGTATCAAAAGATTCGTATTTGAGTTAATTATTCAATCTGTGTTTTCAATAAAAAGTGAACCTAACCTAACTTAAAGTCGGTAAAACAGAACAACGGCCCCTTAACTCCGAACAAAGAATTTCGAGAATTTCGAATTGTCCCTTCGCCAAACATTCGTAGAGTCTCATCGTAACGCAAAGCTTGCCTCTCGCAAATAAATTATTTATTACACGAGCTCGAGAGCTCTGTGTACGTATTTTGCTATCTTACATCTTATAGTAATGGCTTCCACGCAGCCCCATAAGTGCGTTCGTGATAAACAGACAGCTTTGGCGAGTCTGCGAGTGTTTGCGAGTGAAGCGTCATTATTCGCGATAATAGGGTAAATCCGAGGAGGAAGAGGAGAGAGAGAGAGAGAGAGAGAGAGAGAGATCCTAGATCGAGGAAGATTCTTCAGTTGTGCGTCAAGGGAGCAGGGCAAAATCTCGCGATTTATCAATGACTGACTACACAGTCGGGGAAAAATTGGACGGATTTCTACAGAATAATCTCAATCTCGGATGCCAACGACAAGTGACTCGCGAAAGTTCGCGAGGAAGAATTTTTCCACGAATATAAATGCCGTTATCACTTCTCCGATATTGACATATTGATGAACCAAGTAAAAATATCGCGGATTATTTTCAACGTTTGATACAATTTAATTTCTCGGACAGTTTGGACAGTTTCGTATACACCGTTTAAAATTCCGTTCGGAATATTAATATATGTATATATATGTATATATGCGATAAATTGATTTTTCTTTTTTCGTAAAATAATAGAAAAGTTGTTGATGTGAAAAGATGAAAATTTTTTCTAAAAAAAAACTATTTAATTATGAGCTAATTTAATTAAAGAATTTTCAATTTTTCACCTTACATCCGATGATAAAAAGGAACGATCAATTATACTCTATTGAGTGCATTGAGATTGATTGCGAGTCGATTAAATTTTCATTAAGGAAACATCGACTTCAAATTGATCAAAAGACACGCGAGAATTTTCAATGAAAAGAATTCCAGTAAATTGAAACATTTTCTTTCTTTCTCTCTTATTCCCTTTATGAATGATATATTTAGTATAATTCGTCGATGAATGCTTTAATCTCAAACACACGATACCCCGGGGGTTAGTTTTTACTTATTCAATTACTAACGCGCAGCGGATGAAACTGCAATTTGTTTTACTTAATCTAATAAAAAACTATCCTTTCTACGTAATTTGTATGAATTTGGCGGAAATTCTACAAATGGGATTCGCGTTTAGATTATAAAAATTATTATATATATTTTATATTTTACATTGATTAAATATATAATATATAATTAATATAAAATATAAATTTCTATGTATAATTAAATTTATATATATATATGTATATAAGAAATTTAATTACCATCGCGATAATAATTATCAAGACGTATTTACATAAGAGGGACGACTTTGTATGGAGATTCTCCCTTCGCGTAATCTCAGTTTGAGTTGTCTCTAATCAAGAAGCGATATATCGAGCTCTCAGAGAGACAATGGTTTATAGGAAAGCATTTGCTTGTCTTTTGTTGCAGGTGGTACACCAGCTTCCGTGAACTACACCGGCGAACAATGGGACTTTCCCAACGCGTGGCCACCCTTACAATCCTTTTTGGTTCTCGGTCTCCATCGAACGGGGATAACAGAAGCGATGGATCTGGCCGAGATCCTGGCCAGCAGATGGCTCAGATCGAATTATATCGGTTACGACGAGTACGGCAAGATGTTCGAGAAGGTGAGTCACTTTCTTGCGAGACTCGGTTCTTACTCTATAAATAAGAAACTCCACCCTATTCATTCGTGAACCGCTCCGTTGACCGGAAAAGTAACAGATTAAGGACAGACGCTTCTTGCTGACAAGTTTTCGGCGCATGTTCTACATATATATACGCGCGCACACACGTATATCGGTCAGAAAGTGTAGGTTTATGTACCGAGTCTTTTACTGAAATAACCCCACGTATAATCCGAGTTAATCTTCTCAAGGGCAATTTGCGACAATAGAGTGTAGGTACGTGATTAAAGTTAATTTATGTAGTGGTCTGTTAGATCGATATTTTCCTTTCAAATTAAAAAAAAAAATTATTTTAATATCGCTTCAGTTTCAATAATTCATCATTTCTTTTTTTCGCGATATATTTTTTATTTCCGTGCTAATATTCCCTATTGACGTCCAAATATCAATACATCTCGCTGATGTCAAAATTAAAATGTGCAACTACATTTAACGCTGTTTATCGGAGCAAAACATTTTCATTTTCGGAAGAGCGACGGGGCCGCTATATATTCTCTCTGTTTTTTTTTCTCCCCGAGATAAAAACTCGAGATACGTAGGTATTTTGGAAAAAAACGCTCTCAGATTTCGACTGCGGGAACAGATAATTGCTCATCTAATGCGCTCGAGGGTGACCTCCCTTGTTTCCTTTCGTCGTTTCCACGAATCCAAACGTTGATACGAACGAAAAGGTGAGTGGAAAAAAAGCGAGGGATCGAAAGCCTCCGGGAAATACGTCCGGTGTACGGCTCGTTCTAATCTGTCTTGTTTTGTTACACCACCCTTCGGAGAAGATTCAGGACGTTCGCGTGCGTTCTGAACGTTACGATTAGAAGTACGGTGGATACATTGAGAGAAAGTATGTTGTATAAATTATCCGTCTCCTTCTTTCTCTCTCTTTCTCTCTTTTTCCAAAGGGAGAAAAATGTCGATGCGCTCATGCATATTGACAAGGCAGCACACGTAATAGCCTGTATCGAGAGGGCGAGACAGCTCTCTTCTTTTTTTATCCTTCGTTAAATTATATCCTTTTTTTTCAACACGCGCGTTTCCACCTGTGGAAATGTTTATTTTTTCATTGCACTCTTTGTTAATTATTCAATGTATTTTTTTGCAGCACACAAAGCCGGTATTGTATTAAATTATCGCGAATTTAACTTGTCCTGTGCGGACAATTTTTTTCTATTGCGTAACCTTTTTATAACTTTTTATAATATTTTTTTATCGAATTATCGAAAATCACAAAGTTGTTATATGTTATAATAATATTTAAAAACGTAAATCAATTGCAGAATACTTTGATAAAAGTTTTTATTAACATTATCCAAATAATTAAAATATTTCTCTTTTCAGAAAATTTATTTGAAATAAATTTCGTAACAAAAAAAAAACCACAGCTTTTTCTGACATTTTTCGATATTTTTATTAATAAAAATCGACTCCTTTTCGTGCGTTTGTATTAAAGAAACAGTATTAAATTGATATATGTACGAGACAGAGGCATTATATCAATAATATAGCGTTGGGAGTTAATGAAACTATTTTGAATGGGTAAATTCAGATTGCAATAATTACAGAATACTTTTCCAAAAGTTTTTATTAACATTCTCCAAATAATTAAAACATTTCTCGTTTTAGAAAATTTGTTTAAAATAAATTTCGTAATACAAAAAAGACACAGCTTTTTTTGACACTTTTCGATATTTTTATTAATAAAAATCGGCTCTTTTTCGTATATTCGTATTAAAGAAACAGTATTAAATTGATGTATGTACGAGACAGAGGCATTATATCAATAATATAGCGTTGGGAGTTAATGAAACTATTTTGAATGGGTAAATTCAGATTGCAATAATTACAGAATACTTTTCCAAAAGTTTTTATTAACATTCTCCAAATAATTAAAACATTTCTCGTTTTAGAAAATTTGTTTAAAATAAATTTCGTAATACAAAAAAGACACAGCTTTTTTTGACACTTTTCGATATTTTTATTAATAAAAATCGGCTCTTTTTCGTATATTCGTATTAAAGAAACAGTATTAAATTGATGTATGTACGAGACAGAGGCATTATATCAATAATATAGCGTTGGAGTTAATGAAACTATTTTGAACGGGTAAATTCAGATTGCAATAATTACAGAATACTTTTCCAAAAGTTTTTATTAACATTATCCAAATAATGAAAACATTTCTCTTTTCAGAAAATTTGTTTAAAATAAATTTCGTAATACAAAAAAGACACAGCTTTTTTTGACACTTTTCGATATTTTTATTAATAAAAATCGGCTCTTTTTCGTGTATTCGTATTAAAGAAACAGTATTAAATTGATGTATGTACGAGACAGAGGCATTATATCAATAATATAGCGTTGGGAGTTAATGAAACTATTTTGAATGGGTAAATTCAGATTGCAATAATTACAGAATACTTTTCCAAAAGTTTTTATTAACATTCTCCAAATAATTAAAACATTTCTCTTTTAAAATTTGTTTAAAATAAATTTCGTAATACAAAAAAGACACAGCTTTTTTTGACGCTTTTCGATATTTTTATTAATAAAAATCGGCTCTTTTTCGTGTATTCGTATTAAAGAAACAGTATTAAATTGATGTATGTACGAGACAGAGGCATTATATCAATAATATAGCGTTGGGAGTTAATGAAACTATTTTGAATGGGTAAATTCAGATTGCAATAATTACAGAATACTTTTGCAAAAGTTTTTATTAACATTCTCCAAATAATTAAAACATTTTTATTTTTAAAAAATTTGTTTAAAATAAATTTCGTAATAACAAAAAAGACACAGCTCTTTTTGACGCTTTTCGATATTTTTATTAATAAAAATCGGCTCTTTTTCGTGTATTCGTATTAAAGAAACAGTATTAAATTGATGTATGTACGAGACAGAGGCATTATATCAATAATATAGCGTTGGGGGTTAATGAAACTATTTTGAACGGGTAAATTTAGATTGTAATAATTACATGAACAATGTAGACAGCGAGAATGGCGATGATGAAATACACGGTGTGCCCGGCAACTTTGCACGAATCACGTCGCGTTGATATCCGGAGTATCAATATAACGAGCTCTCGCGGAAAATAGCCGGTCCATCTCGCTGAACAAACATGCTCGATCGATTCAATCAAGGTTTCTTTCGTTCGCCTTGTCCTGAAAATGAGAAGGGAGAGGAGGAGAGACACCCAGGTCTCTCTCTCTTTCTCTCTCTCACGCTTTTTCTCCCCGTCAGAAAGATAGGTTAGGTTCGTCTCTCCCGAGAAAATTGTTCGCATTGACAAATTGAAATTATATTCTCGTTGCGTGCGTCATTTGTCGACGTCCAACCGTGATCTTCGAGACTCGATTTCTCCCTCATCCCCACCGAAAAGGGATTACGCGACGATATTTAGTTATTTTTAACAACAACCGACGTCATTCAAGCTTAATCCACGGATTTGTATCTGTTAGTTAGTTGATTATAACACGTTGACAAGTAAAGCTCCGGACGAACCACATTAGATTATACTCCGTTACCGCATGCAATGCACGTTGGATTGTCATGTCAGAAGCTAGGATATATTCGCGTGTGTGTCTCTCTTGTTTTTCGCGGCGCGCACTCGGGAATGAACTTTGAAATAAACAAACTTTTTGCGCTTTTGACCAAATTAGCTTATAAAGCACAACGCGAGTTCCGTCACCAGCTCCGTGAATATAAATAATTCGCTTTCATGTTTAATGCGAACACACGCATACGATACATATAGAGAGCACTTTTATATCCTAAGAACTTTAGATTAGATCGCACGGCCATTTACTAATGAAGGAGAAGTGCTAAAGGGAAAAGTGCTCTTGCCACGTTTTTCAGACTTATTTCATCGAGCGTGAATGATGGCATGCAAAGAAATTCATTTATTTTCAAGTACGCTGAAAATTACATCTCTTTTTTCCTCTCCTCTCCTCTTCCTCCTCTCTAATTTCATAATCTAATACGGCTGACGGAGCAATTGGTCCGGAATATTAATTATTAAGTTTACGCGTATTAAAGCCATGTTTTTTTCGCGTTCGAATAAGCTGGAACAATTTATTTCAGTTAATTTCTGGTTCACGTCGTCGGGGAATAGGCTGCTTTATTACGAATATATAGGGCGTCGAGTAAATACATTTTCGCGACAAAGTAGAGTGAGATAAAATTCTAGTCGACACGAAGAAAAGCAATATTAAGCGAACATATTAATTTTTATTAAATTACATATTTAATTTTGATTTATTACACATTTAATTTAACACTCTAATTTACATTCAACTATTAAGTTACATGTAATTTTCTATAGAATTATAGAGTTATATGAGAAAGTGTGTTATTAATTAATTTTTCGATAAAAAATCTAACTCTATAAATGAAGCAATCATAACGTTTAAGACACTCTATATTCTATATTTATAGAGTTTGTCGCAATCTGCCATGTTTTTCAAGTATTCTTTCTTTGCCTCCTTTCAGAACACGCTTTGCGACGAGGTTTGTTGTGAGAGAAAGAATAAAGAATGTATGCGTGTATACGTGTGTTTCTATCTCGAGTCGAGCAATACATTTTCATATTACACCGTTTGCGCTCAAGAACGCGTAATAAAATTGCAGAAGTAAGCGTCATGTCGATGCTGTGGAACAAAAAGTATTTCAACTCTTCTCGAAAGGTTCATTTTTCGCGGTTTAAAAATTTTAGTTAATTATTATTATTATTATTTTTCATATAAAATCGCTGTCGCATTTAATAGCGAGAAGCAGTTATTTTATTATTCCAATTTAATGTTACACAACAAATAAATGTCACGTATTTATTTTTCGTTTTACGAAAGAACGGTTTCGTTCTACGCACATTCGACAGTAAAGCGAATATATCATAGTCGCGCATAAAACGCGACATTCACAATTGTAGATGCACATACATCCATATATACATATGTATTTATACGTACACGCATGCGTTAACGCATTTCTTTAACTCGGTAAGCCCGGCGTCGGCTTAAATTTGGATCAACATGAATGCATCGACGATGCACTGACATCGTCGATTTATCGCGACTTTGTTATTCGTTTACCATCCGGTGCTTTTAACAAAAACCGTGTACAAAATATACGCGACGTTCTAACATATGGTAACGAAATTTTCAAAAGCATTATTTTCGCGAAAAAAAATGGACAACCGCAACTTTAAAAAAAATCATGATAATTAAAAATGTTCGCCGATACAAAAATAGTATATTTACGGTAGATTGTTTGCCTTACGTTAAAAATTTGCGACCAATATTTTCCTTCTTTTTTACATTTTCTATGCTTTTTTAAAATAATTTTTAATGCAATTAAAAATGTTTATCGAAACAAAAAGGATATGTTTACGGTAGATTGTTTGTTTTATGTCAGCAAATTTCTTTTTTAACAAAACATTTCTATTTTTCTCTTAAATAATATATAACGCAACTCGTTTTTATAACATTAGTTTTTATGATATAGCTTTCGCAAAATATTGATCGAAACGCAGAGAATAGATTGGTTTGCCTTATGTAAAAAATCAGCGACAAACATTTTTGTTTCAACATTTTTATTTTTCTTTTATATAATACAAAACACATAATTCGCTTTTATAACATTATTTTTTACAAGATATAGCTTTTGCAAAATAAACAACTCGAGTTGTATACAAAGTCGCTTTTTTCCGGCATTTTGTCAGACGCGCCCGATAAAAGCTCAGTAACAACCATTTAAAAATTCGCATTGTCGCGAACAAGCCCAGCAAACACAGTATATAAATGTTATATACTTGAGAGCATGTTACATGTAACGTATATGTTAGTTGTAATTTCCCACTCATAGATGTAACATTTTTAATATTACATATATTACATTGTAGTTATATTGTCATTATATCCCAAGATAGCACTGACTTATCAATACATCATAATGTTCTATTTGGTATATAATTACAATATAACTACAATGTAATATATGTTATATTAAAATGTTACATCTATGAGTGGAAAATTACAACTAACGTGAATGTTACATGTAACGTATATATTTGGTATATAATTACAATATAACTACAATGTAATATATGTTATATTAAAATATTACATCTATGAGTGGGAAATTACAACTAACGTGGATGTTACATGTAACGTATATATTTGGTATATAATTACAATATAACTACAATGTAATATATGTTATATTAAAATGTTACATCTATGAGTGGGAAATTACAACTAACGTGGATGTTACATGTAACGTATATATTTGGTATATAATTACAATATAACTACAATGTAATATATGTTATATTAAAATGTTACATCTATGAGTGGGAAATTACAACTAACGTGGATGTTACATGTAACGTATATATTTGGTATATAATTACAATATAACTACAATGTAATATATGTTATATTAAAATGTTACATCTATGAGTGGGAAATTACAACTAACATGGATGTTACATGTAACGTACACGTTATATTACCTGTTATATTCCGTACTATTATAGCAATGTAACAATTATATATCGGTTTTTGCTGGAAGGGTATAGGATTCGCCATACGGGGGTGGTGTACCGAACAGCACAAAAAGTTGAAATAACGTTGTTGATACGTTGCAATGTTGAATATTGAAATATCAATATTTTTGCAACGTTGAATCTATGTTGCATCTTTTACATTGATTCTTTCCCAGAAAACACAGTATATAAATGTTATATACTTAAGCATGTTACATGTAACGTATATGTTAATTGTAATTTCCCACTCATAGATGTAACATTTTTAATATTACATATATTACATTGTAGTTATATTGTCATTATATCCCAAGATAGCACTGACTTATCAATACATCACAATGTTCTATTTGGTATATAATTACAATATAACTACAATGTAATATATGTTATATTAAAATGTTACATCTATGAGTGGAAAATTACAACTAACGTGGATGTTACATGTAACGTATATATTTGGTATATAATTAAAATATAACTACAATGTAATATATGTTATATTAAAATGTTACATCTATGAGTGGGAAATTACAACTAACGTGGATGTTACATGTAACGTATATATTTGGTATATAATTACAATATAACTACAATGTAATATATGTTATATTAAAATGTTACATCTATGAGTGGAAAATTACAACTAACATGGATGTTACATGTAACGTACACGTTATATTACCTGTTATATTCCGTTTTATTATAGCAATGTAACAATTATATATCGGTGTTTGCTGGGTTTATATTGCTAAAACATTGAATCTACGTTGCGTCTTCTATATTGATTCTTTTATATTGCTACAACGTTAAAACAACGTCCACTCAATATTGCAATTCGGCGGACATTAGACATCTCTGCAACATATTTTTAATATTGAATTTATATTTTATTACGTTGATACAATATTGTAATATTGCAGGGTAATGTCTTCGAGATGTTGATTCAACATTTGTGTGCTGTATGGAGTAATATCCTGTTATTGTCTCGTTCAGTCCGTCCGGAAGAGAACCGATGGAATAACGAAGAGCATTTCATCCCCTCTCACCCCCTTTCACCCCCTCGTACTAGATTTATATCGTATCGCTTCCAGGTCGGAAATTGTTATAACAACGTCAACCGCGCTCCTTCGACAGTCCGGCTGATGATTTATCATCGATATGAAATTAATGAAAATAAATACGGTTCTCCCTATATTTGCGCATCCCGCTATCGGTCTATTAAAATCTCTCGTTACGACTCTCCAAATCTCATTGTATCATTTTCTCTCTCGAATGGGTAAAATGAGTATAAAGATTGCTGAGAAGCTGAATATTCGCTTTTAAAATTAAATGCAAGATCACATCTCCCGTAATGTTATTATTAGTCCTTGTTATTTCAGTTTCAATGATTCGCGAGATAGTCTTCGTTGGTTTTAATTCTGGAAAATTGTTAGAAATTCTCTTTGACGGGAAATAAAAATTCTAAAAAGCTAAATATTCGTTCTTAAAATTGAATATATAATATCGCATATCTTAGCTATCCCGTGTTATTTAATAATTTCAACGAGAATTCTTATCATTGATTTTTAATTCCAAAACTGATGCGCACCGATGCTCCTCTCTTATGTTGAAGAAATTAGAAATTTCCTTGGGAAGGATAATTGATAAATTTAAGCTAACAATTTGTGCATACAGAAAATGTAATTAAACGACACCTTGCCTGTTTTATTTTTTTTTTATTTTTATTTCGCTTCTTTCCTCGAAAATTATAATAGAAAGAGGAGGATGAGTTAAAAGTGGCAAAATAGTTCTTAAAGTTCATCCTTATATTTATTCTTATTTTTAATTCATTTTTCAATTCTTATGTATACCTTATTATACTAGACGGAGCTATTGTCTCGTAAATAAAGAAATAATAAAAAATTTTCCCTCGAAAATTGTAATAGAAAGAGGAAGCAGAGGGAGATGAATTAGTGGCAAAGTAGTTGACACATTGCGCGATCGCGGATTCAGACGTACACAGACGTTTAACTAACTGACGAAAGTTCATCCAAGTTCTCTCGATCGTGCGAAATTAGATTTCCGCATGGGATAAGCATTCCGCGCCGGAGAATTAACTCGCCGCCGCGGATGGAAAAGCGTCGTCGTCCGCGAGGTCTTAAAGCCTTGATTACTTTCGACGGGGACGGACGACTTTGTGACTCGGGGAGTGAGTAATTAGTCTTTTAATTTCAGTACAACGCGATACATCCGGGCGAGAGCGGCGGCGGCGGCGAATATAACGTGCAGGAGGGCTTCGGATGGACCAACGGCATCGTCTTCGAGTTCCTCCGCCTCTTCCGGGCGTCGAGTCTTCGGAGAGATACGGCAACGATATCGTTAGCAGATAATGCACGTAAACGGATAAGTAGCTAATTGATTCTAGGAGCGAGAGCGTTAATAAGTGCGAAGAGGAGTCGACGCGGCGATGTCTAAATGAATTTTCTTCTCGCGTTGATTTCTTTTCTCCAAATTTTTCAAGCTTTAAGGGAATCCTAAGCTAACCTAAGTTTCATTCCTGTTTTATCGACAAAATGTGAGGTTAGGTTCAGCTAGAAATCTATTTATTGGCTATAAGGATTGTTTTTAATCGAAATTAGAACGCTTCGCTCTTTCCTAATATTAATACTTTTCTTCTCGCGTTGATTTCTTTTCTACAAATTTTTCAAGCTTTAAGGGAATCCTAAGCTAACCTAAGTTTCATTCCTGTTTTATCGACAAAATGTGAGGTTAGGTTCAGCTAGAAATCTATTTATTGGCTATAAGGATTGTTTTTTAATCGAAATTAGAACGCTTTGCTCTTTCCTAATATTAATACTTTTCTTCTCGCGTTGATTTCTTTTCTACAAATTTTTCAAGCTTTAAGGGAATCCTAAGCTAACCTAAGTTTCATTCCTGTTTTATCGACAAAATGTGAGGTTAGGTTCAGCTAGAAATCTATTTATTGGCTATAAGGATTGTTTTTTATCGAAATTAGAACGCTTCGCTCTTTCCTAATATTAATACTTTAATTTGTATACAGGAAAAAGATTTATCGATCTGTATAGTTTTATATATTTTGGTTAGAATTATGAATGCTTAGAATTTTAATTCTGTAATCGCAAGATATATGAGACTATACAGATTGATAAATCTTTTTCCTGTACAAATTAAAGTATTATATTAATATGAACAAAGGGCGAAGCATTTAGGTAAAAAATAATCCGTATAGCCAATAAATAGATTTGCATTATAGTTTATCTAAACTCATATTTTGTCGATAAAATAGGATAAAAATCACAGACTTCTAAAGGATATTTAGGATCACCTTAAAATCGAGGACTTGACTTGCGAGCATGTTTTTTTTTTAGATCGTTAACATATAGGCACAATTTTTCAGTCCATTCTCTTTAATTAAGAGAGTCTTTTTGAAGATAATGAGTTTATAATTTTTATTTTAATATTTAACGAAAGTTATGAATAGTTTTGAATATAATGGAAAAATAATTTACAAAAATCAATTGCGAGAGATTACACGATTTATTTCAGAGCGAGACTTAATATTGATTTTTATAAAAGCAATTATACATAAATTAACACAAATAATGATGAACTCGCAGATTGTTTCCCAAAACCTCATTTTACAGTTTTTACAGTTTAACAAACGTATAATTACTATGTAAACTTTACTTTACCGAGAAATGTATACGGAAGAACGCGCTCTAGCTATATCAAATAATTGTTAAATGTTTAACGATAAGTATCGATAAAGCGTAGCGTTAACGAATCTAGTCCACAAGGAAAACCTTGCAAGGGCAGCGCAAAGATAAACCCACCGTGCTTTCAGATTTTAAATTATGCATGTCTGATGTATACAAAAGAACGGGGAATTTTGAGATGTAAAAGATAGAGAACAGAAATTATATCTATATTTAATTTTCCTCGCATTAGTAGATATAACACGTAGAATATATTAAGTTATAATCACTTGTAACGCGATATGAAATTAGCGAGAAAAGAGAGAGGGTTGAAGTTTCGAGAAGCTGCGAATCGTTAATTTAGCTCCTTTGTTGCATATGCTGTCTAAAATCTTCTCCCAAACAGCTGTTTCGATCGGAAACAGTGGAGAGAAGATTTACACGGTACGAGATTGAAATTTTTGAAATTATAAAACTCGTACCACACTTCAGGTTATTATTTCTTTCATGATAGAATAAGAGAAAAGGAGATATCATGATGTATATATATTTATCCCAGGTTGATCCAATTAATGTAACTGTATTATTATCAAATAAATATATACCTACATACCACTATTAATCCGTATAAAAATGCATTAAAATATCAGATATAGCAAGCGTACGTAATTTTGACATTGAATGACGTCATTGTGACGTCTAATGACATCATTCTGTTACTTGATACAGTTTCCGAGTTGTTCATTCCATTATTATCCAATATGTCACTCCATTTCAAAACTTGAATCCCGTACCCGGGAGAGAGAGGCGAAAGAAGAGCATCGAGATTTGCATATTAGGCTAATTGGATCCGCGCATTCGTGGATCCGGGGACAAAAAGGGCGGGAAATCGAATCTTGTTAGGTTAGGTTCTCGCGCGCGGGAAAATAACAATAACGCGAGCGACGCGTCCTGCCTTTCATCGCGTAGTCGCGTCGCCCGCTTATTTCCCGACTTGTATATGTTTACGACCTCCATGGGGTCCTTCCCTATAGTTTGCAGCACTTTCATTCCGCGCCGATCGTAAAACGCCGACGACGTCATCGTGCCCCGGGTGCACTCTGGCGTCCCCTGACGTCCGTATATGGCGTATATAATCGTGCGCCGGGGGTACATATAATACGCTTTACGTCTAGATTAAAAGTCAGCCGTCCTTAAAGCGGTCTTTCGATTTTAACGTCCCCGCGTTATTGGATCATTATCAACGCATCTCCGCCGGCATTATCGCATTAACCCTATCTCACGGGTGAGAGACCGCGGATATGTAACCCCTGATGCACGCACGTCGTATCTCATCGATATCGCATTCCGACAAGCTCGAGCTTTCGTATATACACAGTAGAAAATTGGTATTGTCTTGTTAAAACGATTCCCGTTAAATTTTTGTATTAAATATTTGACACATGTATTTAAACAGAGAATTATAACATGTAGCAGTTTTGTTTCATTTTATTTGAGGTGTATTTTAGATAAACTATTTTTTAATAATTTTTCTTCAATTTGGTTTGCACTAATTTTCTATAAAATAATTTCCTCATATATGTTTGCATTTTTATTATTTAATTTTAGACTTGAAAAGCACGAAAGATCGAAACGTAGTCTGTAATAAATTTTTATGATATTGAACTAATAAAGATTATTGAAGCCAGTTGGATCGTTTACAATATTTTTTAATTAAATATTTAATACATTCATGTGTTAATTTAACATATTACTGTCGTGTTAGTTGAACTTAAATGTTAAATTATTAAAACAATTTAAAAAATATGTAAAAGTAACACAATGTGCATCTGTTTTCAATTTTATATTGTTTTATTAGTGGCAAGATTTATCTGTTATTTACAGAAAAAAATGTTGATTTTTTATTTTATAGTTTAAGTAGGGATGATAAAATCTAAAATCAACATATTTTTAGTTAATTTTTACATTAAAACTATGTTAATTTTACACAAAATTTATTTTAAATTACTTGAAGTGTTACATTTATTTTGTGTTAAAATATTAACAATATTTGTGTCTTTATTTAACATATCCGTATTATTTATGTTAACACAAAAATTTCTGTGGACCATTTGGAACATGTGATATCTATTAACAGAAATTTTTCAACTGTGTATGTATATCGAAAAATTAAAATTCAGCTGCGAACGTACGGTTTTATTCTCGCAGCTTGTTGTTACGATTTTTTTTTCTATATATTAAATTTCCTTGAAATAATATTTGTTAAAATAATATCCGTTAGGTGAGATTTAAGAGATTTGTTTTCTTTATACACAGGGTGATTTTAAATAAATGCGAGAAATTTTAGGAGATGATTTTTGGCAAAAATTAAAGAGGAACATCCACTCCTATGTTTACTTACTTTTTTATTCTAAATTTAACTTCTCGAAACGCGAAACTGTCATTTAGCTGTGATAATGTATTTTAATTGTTGATTTTACGAAAACATAAAAGAAAAGTTAGATAAAAATAAAATAAGTTTTTAAAATAATTAAACTTTCTAACCCATATATTTGAAGATGATTACATTTCGACTCATTAAAAGTTTTAATAAAAAATCGAATACCGCTTGCTAGTTTTATCCCTACACAAAACAAGAGGATTAAAAAAATATTAATAAATACTTTTTTTAAGAGCGGAAAATGTCCATCAAATTTTAATGAATATATATTTTTTATATGAAAGATCTGCCCTTAATTTTTGACAAAGACTTATCTCCTGAAGTTTTTCGCAATCATTTATAGAATCCTTTATATATTATCCGTAATGTTTCCGTATAAATATTTATTTGTAATAATATCATGCATATTTTTGTAATTAACATGCATAATTTATCGTATTTCAATTTGCAAGATTGATTGCAGAGACGGACACATGTCCGTCTATGGATGGTATATTTGTACATGATCCACTTTATATTTACAACATACATATTTACGCCGTAACACGCACGAGTGGATATGTAGATAGCCTCCGTATAATTCTTGGATCGCCACCTGGGCTTCCCCGCGTTTACAGTGTAAAGTGTAATGCACTCACCGCATCCCGGTTCGAGATGAAATATCCCGAACGTAATATTCAGCGATATGTAAAGCGGCTGCTTCGGTCAGCTGTAATCGCGCGAAAAATCGAAGCTGCTACCGACAGCTTTTCCGACCGTCAAAGGATATACCTATATATTTCGACGTTTTTAATTCTCTCGCGGAAACCAAACGGACCGATATTGTTATCTACTTTTTCCCGTTACACTTCTTACAGTTGCACTTATAGGCGTCCGCAGGATTTTTTTCCCGGAGGAAGCATGATCCAATTTTTTATTTTTATTTTTTATATTAAATGCACAAATAAATTCCAGTGTTTTTTCAGAAGAAGGGCAAATGCTTAATTTTTTTACTGATGCTTTATCGCAATCGCATACTTATGGGCGTCCGCAGGATTTTTTTTGGAGGAGACATGATCCAATTTTTTATTTTTATTTTTTATATTAAATGCACAAATAAATTCCAGTGTTTTTTCAGAAGAAGAGCAAATGCTTAATTTTTTTACTGATGCTTTATCGCAATCGCATACTTATGGGCGTCCGCAGGATTTTTTTTGGAGGAGACATGATCCAATTTTTTTATTTTTATTTTTTATATTAAATGCACAAATAAATTCCAGTGTTTTTTCAGAAGAAGGGCAAATGCTTAATTCTTTTACTGATGCTTTATCGCAATCGCATACAAATGCCTCCGCAGGAATTTTTCTGACTTAGAACCACGTCAAATTTAATAAATCCCTCGTAAAGGGTTAATCCATCCTCTCTTCCGCATTTCTCCCTTTTCTCGATCTTTTTCTCTCCTTAAGGTGTTTATTATCGCCGAAAATGGAGCTGTATCTCTTATTTCACCGTCGACATCTGGCAAAAAGGGCGCAAAATTATACCTCGAAAAATCACACCTCGATTACTCATCGGGATATTATTTATGAGAGCGCAGGGTGTATTGTACCTCTTTGATAAGATGATCCCGCACGGCAAGAGTAATCCTCTTTCGAGCCGAGGAAGTTTAACGATCCTGTTATCATTTCTTCCATTTCTCGCCGTTGTCGTAACCCAACTTGAACAAATCCTTCAAAACGACGTTGAACGTTAAGGTAACGACTCCCTCGACTCTCATGCGTGTGACTGCAATATTGCGAAACACAGAACTTGAGGGGAAAAAAATTAACAGTATAGCGAGAGAAACTTGTGCAAAAAAAAACAATAAAGAAATATTATCAATTTTGATATTATCGAGATGAGGGAGGTTTATAAGAATTTTTTTATTTAAACAAGTAATCAATTTTTCCCCAAAAGTATATCATCATTTGCATCCGGGAAAAATTGTTTATATATGTAACAATATAAAATTATATATGAAATATGTCCATACATAATTAGATAATGCTTTTTTATACATAATTATATAAATTTATATATATTTACAATAAATAAGTATTTCTTCATATATATAAATATATATGTTTTATATAATTTGACATAATTATATACGGATCCTTAAAATTTATATAATTATGTATAGAAATGGACATACATAATTATACAATTATTTATATATAATTAAATGTAAGAAATGTTTTCCTGGGGTCTAACAAAGTGGGATTATCCCTTTGGTTGAGAAAGCCTGTAAGACGGCTTAATTTGATAATCTAGCGAATATATATCATCTGATTTTTCCCTTCGTTTCTCCGTTAATTACATTAACGTCAATATGTATGGATGCGCTAATGAGAAACGTCTCGGTGCATCTCCTTACGTTCTCTGCCGCCTCCGGATGCTAGGATGGCGGGATCAATTAATTCCGGTCTCCTGCCGGTTAACCACTCCATGAAACGTTGCAACGTGGACGAGGACTCCGGTACGTAGACGGAAACCCTGCGTGATTATCGAGATTTTAGTAAATAAAACATGCTCGTGAAAATACTTTCGGCATCTCACAAGGGATGATGTTACGCGGACTTATACAATATCCTCCATAAGTTTGGAAACACCTTGCATTTCACAGTTAAAGAATTGCTTGACAGCGATCTGTTATAAATAAAAATATTATTTAAATATTTTACGTTTATTTGATGATTTATTTATACAAAAAATCTGCACAGATCTGTCAAAAGGACAGATTCTTAATTTAATTTAAGAGAAAATAAAAGAGAAATAATTTAAAATTTAAGAGAAAAATTCTCTAAAGAAATTCTTTAATTATAGATAACATGCAAGAATATAAACTTATAATAATCCTTAAGGTTCGCCAGTAATAATTAATAAAAATTTTTCCTCAATTGTAAAAGTCGACCAAATTAGCAATCATTTATTATAGATAATTAGTTAAAATACATTGTCTGAGGTATGCAGTGAATTTGATTTACTGTATTAATTTATTTTGCATTTACTTTTGGTATGTAACATATTTTCATATATGAATTTATAATTAATTGTTGCGATGAAATGTATTAAATTATAATTATTTTTATGTAACTTTTTATAGATTTACTGTGAAAAGAGCTGCAATGACAGCCGAAACGTTGTATTTTAACTAATTATCTATAATAAATGATTGCCAGTTTGGTCGACTTTTACCATTGAGAAAAGATTTTTATTAATATAAACTTAATCGAGTGTTTTTTTATCAATATATTATTTAAAATATTATTATTAATCGTGATAACAAAAAACAGTCTTACAAATGACATTTGTTATTTATTGTATAAGTATCCTTTACAAGTTTGAAATCGCATGGCAGCGATCTGTCATAAATAAAAATGTCATTTAAATATTTTGCGATTTATTGATACAAAAAATCTACACAGATCGCTGTCATACGATTGTTTAACTGTAGAATGTAAGGTGTTTCCAGACTTATGCAGGATATTGTATACGCGGAATTATGATCGAATATCCAGCTTCGATACGGACTTAACAGACTGAAAAAGTGTTATTTGCAAAAAAAAAAAATAAATAAATTTTCACTATCACGTACGTCGACACGTATCGCATTCTTCTTTATCAGGTATGTCGAACTTTTTCTCTTTTTCTCTCCATTTGTCGAATTTTTCCAATACCTGATTGAACACTATGTCCGATTTTTTTATATTCGGAGAATTTAACTTTAAGCATACGATTTCCTGGCATAAAATCCCTAAAATTTCAAGTTTGATCGTCGGAAAGATCCGTTTTTACAAATAATACAAAAGATTAATCGCTTAATTAAAACAACAATACACGCATGTGGATTTACTCTCCCGCCTTTTTTCTGTCTATTGTATTTCTTATTATTTTTTTTTTCTTTTATATGTACAGATGATTTATCGTGGGAACGCGTCGTATATATAATCGTCGGAAAAATTGTTTTTTCCGCAAAATCCGGTGATCGGATTTTCCGGCGCGCGCGACGAGAACTAGCGAATGGAATAACGCAGAATAATAGAAAATACATATTTCCTCCGATATATATGAGCGATACGTGCGATCCATGCGAACGCACGAACAAATGAACGTTTACCTTAACGCGATGGGTAAAAAAGAGCGCGAGAAAAAAGTATTGTAAGTTGCAACGCAGTTCGACGTAAAAAGAGATTAAATCACGCGTGTGTACATTCGTAAGAGAAAAACATTGGTTTTTTCTTCTTGTTTCGTTGGCAGCTATAATGCTGCCGGCTTCATGAATAATAATGTCATTTATAAACGCGCGTTCTCCCGAAGAGAGAAAAACTCACGTTTCCGGGCCACTGAAAATTTGATATTTATTTTCGCGCACTGATCGATGGCCGGATTTGAGAGAAAGAGTTTCTTCAAAGGTTAACATAACGCGAGAGCTAGAGATATTCCATAAATCAATGAATAATGTAATATATATATATTATCTACGGATACATATATACATATATATATACATATTATACACATATATAATATATATATATATATATACATATTAATATATATATGTATATATATGTATATAATATATTATATAATTTTATATATATATATATATATATATATATATTGTATATATATATATACTATATGTATTCGACCTTTTCTCGGTGTTGTAATACGTCTGGATTACAAAATGTAAAATCAACATTTTCCATCGTAAGAACCTGAGACTCGAGCATACAGATATATTTCTACGGCATATATTTTCTCAATATGTTTTCAAAATAACATTTTCTTTCTCTCTTCCGTCTTCGAATAATACCTTTTCTCGTGATGTCCCGTTTTCAAAGGTAAATGACATACTCCGTATCCTCTAATGACGTCACGACCGAACCAATCCAATCCGTAGATCAACATAATAAGTTGTGGCCCTGCGGCAAAAATGCATTACTTGTAATTGGAAATAATCTAGAACGCGCATTTTTTTATACATTTATTTTTTTACGCTTGTGCACGCGACAAAAATAATTTGTAATTTTTAAAAAATTTAATTATTATTATAGGCTCGTGTAAAATTCAAACTAAAATAATTTAAGTTTGCTCTTACATCCGTGCGGATTTGTACTTTTGAACGTAATATCCAGGGGAAAATTCCAAACGACGAGGTTCCTCGGATCGTTACTGCATTTGCACATTTGCGTCAAACCCTCTTCGATTCCCTGCAACGAATAAAAGAATAATTCAAATTGTCAATACACAAATTGTTGCATCTTAAGCGATTATAATGACTCGAGCAAAAAGCAAATTCTTTACGAGCGTATTATTTTTTTACTTTTAGCTTTATGAATGAAGGCATTTTTGCGATCTTATTACCGTGAATGCATTTTATTCCAAAGAAGCCGACAGGAAACTTTGTTTTCTTTTTCGCTTTATATTATTTTATAAAGTCTCTTATTTTATTTTTATATGCGGAATAACTTTTATAAAAAATAATTAAGGCAAATTAATTAATTTTGCATAGTCAGCCCCGGCTGATACAAATATTGTCAAGATAATACTGAGTAATTTTTAAAAGATTTTAGCCGTCGCTTATTTTATTAACACGAAAGTAAGTGATTGAGTGTGCCTCAGTAAATAAAAAATATAAATGAAAATTTATAATGCATAGGGGTTTGCAAATATGTATCTATGCAAACGAGGTTTATCTCACTTTATTCGATATATTCTAAACGCTAAATAATTATAATTTCTATAGTAATTAGATATAAATTATAATTATTTCGCACTTAGAATATGTATCGTGTCATAGCAATTAAAAGTTCTTTTAAACCTGTATAAGTTTTTAAAACTATATAAAAGTAAATTTTTATCTTAATTGAAAAGCATTTCAACTTTACACAGCTTATTATGCTTTCCATGTAAGTTTATTGCAGGCAAAGGAAAAATATGACATAATTTTTAATGCTTTTACTCATAACTTTCTACCTTTCTAACTTTCTTTTATTATGTCAGAAGTGAGAAAACTAAAAATTACATCCATATCTGTTTCTTGGAAACAGGTATTCTTTGCTTATGCATAAGAATAGGGGGAAAAATTAAGGTCTTATTTTTTTTATTCCCGGACATCGTATTAAATTTGTTATCACGAAACAAAGTATAAAGTTTCTCAGTAGTATTTTTATCGCAAAGCATACTTTGAGATAGTGCCCAACAAAAATATTATAAAAACAATATATAATTAAATTTCCCTTGTTTTTCAAAAAGACGATACAATATATGTCACTTTTGTACATATTTAAATATATTACTGGAATTAATGGTCAATCTCTCGACACACAGTAATCGTATTATTTAAGTATTTAATTTCCCGGAGCTATAAATCATGTAAAATAATCAATTATTAAAAAGAGACATGCATGCTAATAAACATGACAAATTTCTCTGCAAATTTGGATTAAATCGTGCATAATTTAGAGATTTCAAATATTGATTATAATTGAATCTCGCTATGAAACTATATACAGTCATACAACTCTTGCATTTTGTATCCACATGATTTACAATGGTTTATTGTTAGCGAAAGGTAGAGAAATTATAAGCAATAATTTAATGTAACAACTGACGGAATGTTCCAAATTAATTCAATTCTCTCTCTTTCAGTATTCATTAATATAAAAAAAAAAAAAAAAAAAAACACGTACGCACAGAAAACAGATTATATAAAGTTTTTTTCTTTTCCAACATAATCCAATACGGCAGTAAAGTGGCCTAGATTGCCGAGAAGATTCCTTTTGTGACAATTCTAATGTAATTTTATTGCTTTCTTTGACTGATTTGATTATTGTGAAAGCTTACCGTGACTACATTCCATTCCGGGCCGAAATGAAAACGGTAACTTGCAATAAACGTTATCGGCCTCATAGAATTCCGCATGCTCAATGGATCCGGTAATGGACAAAAAAAATTGTCCCTCCACTGACATAGTACTTGTCGAACTTGTCAACTGTGCTTTCTTTTTCAGCTTTTTTGATAGTAGAATAAACTGTGACACTTGACTTGAAGAGCGGACGCAAACAATCCCTTAACTCTCTGTTTGTGTCATCGTACCTTACGCTGTTGCCATGGAAGCACACCTGGTCGACACATACATATGTTGTTGTAAGCATTTCTTGGGGATTTTTCCCTGTTTTTTTTGTCCTAAATTAATTTAAAATTATGTTGTCTAAATCAAATTTTTATCAGAATAACAATTTACCGAAAAAGAGAATATTCTAAGAATTAAATTAATTTTACTTTATTTTATTCTTTCTTAAATGTTACGTTGTTTTTTTTTTTTTTCATTTGTATTTCTTGGGAAGAGACTCTTAAAATAAGGGAATTAATAATGCGCGACTCCTTGGCTAATAATTTATTTGTTCTCGCTTGCGGCGGGACAATACATTTTTCTTCCTAAATCGGTCAACAACTAGAAAATGACGTTTACCAAGTGTCTTCTTGGTAATCGTCCTTGGTTGATGAATAATATGTACATGTAACAACGCCACGACCTGCGATTCAGAGACGAACGCGATCCGTCAATACGATCGCAATTATTTCGGCGTATCGCAGAGAATAATAAGTATCTTAATCTCTTCTTCACGTCGCACATAAGTATTGTCAAGTAGAAGCGCCAAGGGAGGAAGAGAAGAAAAATCAATGATGAAGAAAAATCGATTTTCTTAAAAAACACGTTATCTAAAAAATATATCTAAGACTAAGATTTTAAAAAATTAAAATCCTCCAAGTGTTTTTTCATATATATGGCTGCTAGGCACTATGGCATATACATATAATTCGCTTATCCGGGAAACAAAATTAATAGTAACGACATTATGCGCCTCGATCGACCTTGCCTCATTCTGCGACGGCACGTTCTCTCCATTTATCACACAAATGCGTTGCGCGTTATATAACAATCGGCTAATTTTCCGCGAGTCGGATACTCCGTTTATCGTCCGCTCGAAATTTCCTTCATGCGATTCAAGGCGGAGCCGGCTTTGAACCAGGTGATCTGTTGCTCGTTCAGCGTGTGATTCAAGGAGATGGTGTCCACCTTGCCATCCTTGTGTTTGATTTGCGCTTGCACCGGCTGCAAGGATGAATAAATAATTAATTAATAAATTAGGAAACGTTCGAGAGAGACGTGGGAGTCTTAGACGGAATACATTAAAGAGAAAGCGATCTTAGATCCTTTCACGAACCTTGCCGGCTGCCAGGTCCTTCAGTCCAAGAAGACTGATCTTGTCGTTGGGCTGGATTTTATCGTAATCGGCAGGGTTGGAGAAGGTCAACGGCAGAAGACCTTGTTTCTTCAGATTCGTCTCGTGGATACGAGCGAAGCTCTTGACGATGATCGCGCGACCGCCAAGATGACGCGGTTCTAGAGCTGCGTGCTCCCTGGAGGAACCTTCACCGTAATTTTCATCGCCTACGGCGACCCATCTCACTCCCTTCTTTTTGTAATCGCGCGCGACGTCCGGCACGGCGCCCCATTCGTTTGTCAATTGGTTCCTGATCTTGTTCATCTCGCCGTTTTCAGAATTGACGGCGCTAAAAAAAGAAGAAACGACCAATTAATTAATTAATAAAAGCTGTACACCTTTAAGGAGATCCTGACCATGATTGTTTTACCGACTTTGAGTTCAAGGGCTTTTCTTTTCTTTTTATTGACTATACGAATTGAAAAATCCTTCTCCACGATTAAAGTACTGATGATAATAAACGAGGAGCGCTGTAATTTTGTATAAAAAAACAATAAGTTAAAAAATTACAGTTTTTATCGGCCTCTTGCATCAGTTCATAACAATACTTATTCAATACAAAAGTTCTGCAGTTTATTTGTGCACAAAATATGACGCTCTCAATATAGATGACATGAAAGAATAATACAAAAGTAATAAAAAGAAGATTAAAAGCTTGTGGAGAATTTTTCAATCTGTATATTCAATAAAAAGTGAATTTAACCTAACTTAAAGTCGATAAAACAGAACAACGGCAGCGAATTTTGGCCATTTTTTTCATCATATACTTGCTTCAGACGTTCAAGTAGCTTACCCGAGAAACATGTTGTTGGAAATATTGTCGAGATGACCACGATATTTGAGCCACGGACCGGCCGCGGAAATGTGATCCGTTGTACATTTGCCTTTGACCTTAATTAGGATCGTCAGATCCTCCAAGTCCTTGCCGTCCCATTTGTCGAAGGGTTCCAGCAACTGTAATCTTTGGCTCTTTGCATCCACGTCGACCTTCACTTTACTACCGTCTGACGGCGGTGCATCATAAGTGTCTACACCGGGATCGAAACCGCGACTAGGCAACTCATCACCTGCAAGCACATAAATATATTCATTAGTAATAAACATATATATATACATTTTCTTTATTTCTGCTGTTAATTTGCAACATACACAAATTGTTGTTATCGACTAACCATACGGATTGTCGAGAAGGAACTCTTTCCATCTTTGCCCTTCAATCTGTCGCTGACAGGATTGAAATCGAGTCGACCAGCAATGGAAAGAGCGACGACAAGCTCAGGACTGGTCACGAAAGCGTGTGTCGCCGGATTAGCGTCGTTTCGACCGGTAAAGTTTCGGTTGTACGATGTGACAATTGTGTTTTTATCACCCTTCTTGATATCCTGACGATCCCATTGGCCGATGCAAGGTCCGCAAGCATTAGCCAGTACCGTGCCGCCGAATTCACGAAGAGTTTCAGCCTGGAATAAATTAATGCAATATAATAGAACATAGTTTCTTGATACTCTGAATAAATCATGTATTGATAGATGATTTGTTATAAAAAAATCTTGAGTTGAATATTCAAGAAAGGCACACGACTGTGTTGTAATAAAATAATATTCAGTCTTGTAAAATGCCTGATATTTGCAAAGATGAATACTTACAATTCCATCGCGCTCGATTGTCGCTCGAATTTGTTCGGATCCGGGTGTGACGTTGAACGCTGCTTTTGCTTTCAAACCATGCTTCAGAGCCTGCTTGGCGATGTTTGCGCATCGACCCATGTCCTCGTAGGAGCTATTGGTGCAGGAACCGATCAGGCCGACCTTGATTTCGTTTGGCCAGCCGTTCTGCTTTGCCGCTTCGCCTGTCATATAAACAATTCATAACTATCCTCATCAGCAATGGAGATAAACGAAGCAGATTTTTTTCTCAAGAGCTTTTCGATCTTTAATTACCCAGTTTCGAGATCGGATGAGCCAAGTCGGGTGTAAAGGGTCCGTTTACGTGCGGTTCCAAGGTAGACAGATCCAATTCGATGATCTGATCGTACTTGGCGTTGGGGTCCGCCGTCAACAGACTCTTGTGTTGATCGGCGGCTCCGGCGATATCTGAGCGTCCGGTCGCCTTCAGGTAATCCTGCATCCTATAATTGTACGGGAAGAGCGAGGTTGTGGCGCCGATCTCGGCACCCATGTTGCAAATAGTGGCCATCCCGGTGCAGCTGATGCTGTCGACACCCGGACCGAAGTATTCTACGATTGCACCGGTACCACCCTTGACGGTCAGAATACCGGCCACCTTCAGGATGATGTCCTTGGGGCTGGTCCAACCCTTGAGCTCACCCGTGAGCTTCACACCGATCACCTTGGGGCACTTGAGCTCCCAGGGGATATTTGCCATAACATCGACGGCGTCTGCACCTCCGACACCGATGCACAGGCAACCTAGACCGCCACCATTCGGCGTGTGCGAATCGGTACCGATCATCAGCAGGCCTGGGAAGGCGTAGTTCTCGAGAATGATTTGATGGATGATGCCAGAACCGGGATTCCAGAAGCCCACGCCGTATTAGCACCAGCTGTCTTTAAGAAATTGTAGACCTCTTTGTTGATGTCCTTGGCACGCTTAAGATCCTGATCCCCACCGATTTGTGCCTCGATCAAGTGATCGCAGTGGATGGTGGAAGGCACCGCGACCTTTGGTAGGCCTGAGAACGAGAAAAATAATTAGTTATCTAATAAATCGCGATGACGTTGATAATCTAACATGATAAGTGATCTTACCGGAACTGATAAATTGTAACATTGCCATTTGCGCGGTCGCGTCCTGCATAGCGACGCGATCCGGTCGCAATCGGAGATAGCTGGTACCGCGAACGATATCCTGCTTGGCAGGTTCATCGAGATGGGAGTAGAGAACCTTCTCGGATAGAGTCAGTGGCCGATTCAATCTGAAAAGAGTGAGAAAATTGAAATAAATCGCGATACAAAAGCGATCTCCTGTTTTCTCTCTTCTTACCTCTTTTTGACCACTTGGAGATTTTCTTCTAGCTTGTCATAGGGCAGATAACTAGTCGAATCGAATTTGGACATTGCTACTTTTGCTGCGGCGAAGCTCAAAGGACTTGCGCTGAAGCATCGTTGCTGAATGTCCGCCGCTAAAGCGGACAATTTCTGCAAAGTAAACAAATCATTTTGTTAAGTAGATGTTACATCATGCTGATTTTTCATACGCGTCTGACAGGTGTATATATATATATATATATATGTATATATATACATATATAATAGTCAGAAACAAATCGTATCAACTGATACGTGCCAGCCAAATTTTTGTCATATATGCTGCGCAATGCTCTGTTATTTCTGACTCCAATTACGTAATTAGACCGGACATGCGTGACATTTGTTGCACTTGAGATATTAATTTCATAGATAAGCCACGTAAGAAATACATCAATTGTAAATAAATAATGATAACCCTTGACTATGCACAATAATAATTACACCGCGATATTTTACAAGAGTGTTGATAAGCAATACAATCAATTTTCTTCCTAATATTTTATTTAATTAATTTAATAAAAAAATTTGTCATTTTTTCACAACCCTCTCCCCAATTATTTCGATTCAACTTTAAATCTCGCGCCTCTTTCACACACCTGCGCCACACGATATATACGTATTGAATCTAATGTCCTCGAAAAGCGAGCAATATATACATAAACTCAGTTTGGCACGATTACGTAATGTCTCTACGACACTTCGACCCGCCTTATTCCTCATTCTTGGATTCGTTCGAATTCACGAATTTTGCGACATTTACTCGCCGAACAACCGCCAACATATGCGCCTCATACTCCTCCAATGGCCGAGAAATTTTCCAGTTAGTTAAACACGTGCTCCGAAAAATCGGAGCAGCGAGAGACTCCTCGAGCGGAAAAATATTATCTCGTTAGCTCCGGAAAACGTCAATCATTCGCGTCACCAATTCTGGAGAGTCTCGAGTCGGTCTGGCTGACACTGCGCGAAGGCCGCGTCAATCGTCAGGGGTCAAATAGTATTGACCTCCTGATGACAAGTGGAGGGAACGAGGAAGAGAGCCCGAAGCGCGCAAATTCCTTTGTGTCCCGCAATTTTTGTCTTTACCTGTGCACGAAGAACACGCGTGCAGTATGACATGTTGAGAATTAGGAATCTTGCTGTCTGTTAATCTCTCCCGTGACTCGAAGGGCGCAAGCGCGTGATGCGAAGTGGTTCGCCCTCGTTGACCCTTGTGGCAGCTCTTCTCGAACCGGCCACTACAAGGAAACTGAGAGAAGAATAGTTCACGTCGGTGTCGCTTCATTTCTGCGCCTGCGCACAAGTTGCTGTTTACTCCGTTTGAATCACAATGAATCAGTATGTGCTTGCGCAGACTATGTTATCTCTTGGAAAACATATCACTTATATTTTATCTTTATTTTTATTTGCTTTAAAGAATACTTACCAGCTCGTAAAAGGATCTACGGTAAACAGTATACAACATTTTATTTTCATCATTGCAGTTACAATTAAAAATTTGTAATTGACAGGAAATCTCGAGAGTGCATATAGATAAGATTCAATGACAGATAAGATAAAGTATATCACATGCTTTGCAATATCTGAAATAATTTCATCAAATGTAAATATTGATCTTTATTAGTGATAAAATTGCCTGTTTATCGTACATTGCGTATGAATAAGTGAAGACGTCTTTATTGTACATATTTTGCAATTTTCATTTATTCAAGTTTTGCGAGAGAGTCAATTTATAGAATTTGTTTAAACAATTTTCTTTTACTTGCTCAATGTTTGTGAAAAATATTGTCTAACAAAAATTCTATTTATTAAAAATATTATCTAAATTAATTCAAATCAAAATTCTAAAATGTTTATTCTTCATAAATCGACAACTACATCGAAGCGCTCTCTATTAATGTGAAACGTTTCGTTGCTGGAGAGATTCAGCAGCAATATGTACCAGCAATCGATAAAGAAAAAGTCATTTAAATATTTTATGATTGTTATATTTTGCGTGACATTAAACCGCGATCTCGCGGTTTTTATTTTAAAAATTTTATTAAAAATTTTGAGAGAAAATTAATTTTTATTTTTAATAAAATAATTATTAATGCCATTTTTCGAAAATAATATTTATTTATAGCAAATTATTATTATTATAATCAGTAAACATTCTTTATTAATTGCAATTATTAAATTATTAATTTTATTAATATATTAACATCTACTTTTTTCGAAATAATCAAAGACGTAAAATAGACAAGTGTTATATTTTTATATTCAATAAAATTTTATTATAATAATTGAATTTTTTCACATTCATTATTTAGAAATAGCGAAATTGACGGACAACTGCGTCGATTTTCTCTCGAGATATCGAACAGAATTCCTCGCCGGGTTAAAGGAGTATTAAGCGAGGTTGAAAGAGCGTTATTATAGGCGCGATGGAAGTCCTTGACACGATTAATCCATTGTAGGTGGACCAGAGCAAATTTCGACACGTGCTTCTCTGCACGCGTTTAAATCGCTAACAATCCGTTTGTTGATCGGCGATTTATCGGTACGCGAACGGAATTTACTTTCAGCCTCCGTTAAAGGTGTCGTCGAATCTCATTCTCGAGGTAACTCGCTCGACGATTATTATTATGGATTATGCGTAACGTCGTTATGCGACATACGCAACGACAAATCGACAAGGATCGCGAAAGAGAAACTCGGGCGAGCGGGATTCTAATTGAAATTGCGGAGCGATTACGCACTGTCAAATTTAAATGGAGAACACGGAGAAACTATATGCATGTCACGCTGTCATCGTACAATAAAATGAAAAAGGTTCAAAGATAAAAGGCCATTAACTCTAATGTGAGATAAAATATAGGAACAAAAAAGTAGCAAGAAGAATTTATCTATATTATTTATTTTTAATCAATATATTATTAAAAATTTATTAAATTAATAAATTATTTAATAATATATTGATTAAAATTTAAATATGTATATATATATATATATTTAGATATTAATAAATATTTAATAATCTATTATTTTTAATAATTAATATATTTAATTTTAATAAATTTTAAATATATTAATATTTTTAATCTCTTTTATATATGTAAATATTTTAATTATTATTATAATTAATGATTTATTATAAATAAATAATTAATTAAATATTTATATATATATATATATATAATAAATATTAAATTTAATGTATATAAAATATTGGGTTATGTCTTAAATTTCAATCTCAATTATTTTTAATATAAAATAATTTTTTATTATTATAAACATCAAGATAACATCAAAATTTTTTGCAATTTGATATTATTTTGACGAACAAAAAATCACCATATTTTGACATTATTTTGACATTTCTGTTCTCCTTTGGGTTATTATATTGCACTGACACAATTTTACGTTTAAGTACGATATTTTACATTTCTCGACAATATTATATGCTGCGTTTCAACGTGTGACCTAACCGAACAACCTGACGAAGCCGCGGGCGATAATGGCGAAAGTAATAATGGTTCGCTCCAGTTTCCCCGAGGCTACAATTGTGAGTTGTTACACCCCCGCCTTTTATAGCGACGCGTTAACGTAATCATTTACCGTAAATCCCTAGATTCTACTGATACGTATAAATTTCCGCATTAATCCGGTTCTCATATATAAGCGGTTCTCAATAAATGATCAAAGGAATTGTTGTTCGATATGTCTCCTTTAAAGAACACTTTGCATCATTTTTTCCGCACCTTAGGAAAATTCACAAAAAGTATTATTTGTTTTGTGTCGTGGAAATTTGAATACTTTGAGAGAAAAAATTCTCACTCGGATTTTTCATGTTAACATTTTTTTCTTCTCACTCGTAATTCTTTTTCTGACGCTAAACATTGCGTATTACGGTTTCCCTCGGGCGTTTCTCGACGTAACAACGCTGATATAAATGTCGCTTGAGGCTTAAGTTCGCTTCGATATCGGCCGAAAAATCGAACCCAATACATCCGAATTGACGTGCGAAAGGAAAAGGTCACGCGAGCTATCGAACACAAAATTTCTTATGACAGCGTTCCTTGCGCGAAGATTTGACAAAAAGGAACCAGATTTGTCCGAAAAAAATATTCTTTAAAATTTCAGCAGCAACTTAGCAGTCTGCTAATTTAGAATGCGTTTCAAATTATAATTACTAATTACACATAAAATGATTGTATAAATCATTATAAATAAATACAGAAAAAATATAATTAATAAATATATAGAAATTATAATTGCATATAAAATAACTGTATAAATATATATAAAAAGTCACTATAAAATACTTTATACATAGTATGACAGTACAGATGGAAATCCGTACCGATATGCTGGAAGAAAAGAAGAAATATAAGACAGCTGTTGCTACAAATCGCTTTCAAATAGAGTCATCAAAATATACCTAAAAAATTAGGTATCCCTGTACATCTGAAATTTAGTTACCATGTCTAAATTTTTAATTACAATTTAACAGAGAATTCCCGATAAACTGTAGCTTCAAAATATTAGTTATCGTCAGGGTTGGGTAAGTTAATGATTTTTTTAAACCAAGTTAAGTTAAAGTTAATTGCTTATAAAATTAATTTAGTTAAGTCAAAAGTTCCATGAACAAAAATTAATTAAGTTTTAAATTTAATATTAATATTTATTAATATTTTTTATTGTGGTAAATATTAATCAGAAAAACTCTTATAAAATTCTATATTGTCCCACGCTTACCCTGATTTTCAGGGTAAATTCTAAGAGAAAATTCTCCCCGTGTGGTTATCATAGTTAAAAGGTGAAATTTCTGAATTTCGGAAGACGGTAAAAAGTAAGCTGATATTTTTTCTTCATGAAGGGGTCGACACGTCGCGTCTGCAAAGAGACCGTAAAGAATTTCGGCGAATTGCGCCGAGAAGGAGAGAAAGAGCGAGAGACCGGGCGTGTCTGGTTCAGTCCAGTCTGCGATCCCGTAACCGGACGAAGGAAACAGGAGGGTGTGCGCGATGACGTAATTCTGGAGAAAGCGGTCCCACATGGACCTGTACGGTCCGTAAAAAGCGCGGCGAGATCCCGAGACGCGCGATCCATCAATTACGCGGGAATTATTATTATTTCCTGCACTCTCTCGAGCGAAGTCGCGACTTCGCGCCCGAAGGTCCTCTCTGCGGGTCTCCTTCAGTGACGTCGCGTGGCAGGAATCTCTTCTCGGCGCGAGAGAGGATAATCCATCGCGTGCCTCGTCGGTTCGTAATGCGCGATAATTGCCTTAGACGGGATTCGATTGTTGCGTCGATAAATCGCGTAATGTCAATTAATTTCGAACCGACGCGATTAGAAGATTACATATATCTTCGATGCGCTTTTCGCGAGGGAGGAAGTTAAATTAAGAAGCTATGCATAGAAGAAACCCTGAAGAACTCTCTTTCATATTTTTCTAGTTTTCTTCTTTTTTTATTATTCATCTCTTGAATCTTTGAATGATTGGGATATCCTTGACATAAAGGATTTAGGAGGAGAGAGTGATGTGTCTATGAAGGATAATTTTTTCCAGAGGTGTTGTGATAATTTCATAACGGTATATACTAGCTCGAAGGCCGACCGAATTCATAAAATTGTCATCGAAGCAATTATTTCAGTAAAGACGCGGAAAAAAATCAGTCGTAACAACGATCGGTATTTCTATCTCTCGATGGCTTCCGGAGATTAAAAGAAAAATCTCCTTAATAAGCTTCCTTATGGTAAAAGTCGAGGTCGAAGAAATTTATCGTCGCCAAGAGATCTACGTGTATAAGCGCTATTTTATTTCTCATTACAAAACACGTGACGCCGCTAATTAGCGAAGTAAACGACTGCGTCGCGAGTTTATTAAGGCGCGCGTGTAACGTTGCGTGGGATCCCTAGTATGACCTTATTTATGTTTTTGGAGAACACTGGAAGAAGTTTTTATGAGAAAAGATAGGAATTTTTGTCGACTATCGTAGTTTGCACTTTCAAACAAAAGGAATAAATGTTATTACAGCAAAACTTTTATTTCTTTTTTTATGTTACGTAAAATATCTCTGCTATTTATACTATATATATATATATATATATATATATATATATATATTTACTTATTTATTATAGTAATTTATATGTATTAATAATTATACTTTGTTATAGTAATTTGTACATATTTTTTTATATCTTCTTTTTTATGCGTAAAGAAATTGTTCTATTATACCATAATATATATATATTTTTGTAAGCAACACGAAAAAAAAATTTAAAAATTACTCTAACTTAATAATAAATTATTAATTATTAATAAATATATATAGAAATTATAATTACTAATTACACATAAAATGACTGTATAAATCATTATAAATAAATACAGAAAAAATATAATTAATAAATATATAAAAATTATAATTGCATATAAAAAAATAACTGCATAAATTATTATAAATAAATGCAGGAAAAATATATAAAAAGTCACTATAAAATACTTTGTACACAGTATGACAGTACAGATGGAAATTCGTACCGATATGCTGAAAGAAAAGAAGAAATATACGACAGCTGTTGCTACAAATCGCATTTTCGCAACGAGTCATTCCAAACGAGGGAGTCGCGGGAGAGTCGATACTTGCAAATCGATCAATCTCTCGATAGCGGTCACTTGTCGCGGCAAAAGGACCACGCCCGCGGCTTAGACCCGCGGGCTTCGCCGAAGTGCCGTGTAGCCGTTTACGTAAAAGGAATAAGGCAAAGACACATTGCCTACCATAAACCACGTAGTTCTCGTCCTCTCTCGGAGAGAGATAATTATTACTTATTTATAACTTAAACGTGTGCGCACGCGAGTTCGCCTTTCAGTCTAATTTTACGACTTTCCACATCAGTTGCAGAATAATAGAATAGCGGAGTCTCGAAAAATCGACGCTGACTTTATTTCCTTTCCACATCGATTGCATGAGTGTGTAGAAATATTTAATAGAAATGCAATTGAATTATTTAAAGTGTAACTTGTTCTTCTAGTTAGCCGCGTGAATTATTCTTATTCTTCTGCTAATTAGATAAGTATGTTCGTGTTCTCTCTAGGAACTTCCTTCGCGATTTGACAGTAAACAGCTGTTCCTGGCGTTCTTGATGCTCTTTTAATCATGGTTTTATTTTAATCCTGACCTTGCGTGTATCCTACGTTTAATTTTTTTTTCTCACAGAATTTTGGCGTTTATCTTCTTGAAGATGAACGCATAAGTCCACAAACGCATTTACATCGCTTACAAGGTTACACAATTCTCTCACGAATATTCAATTGTTCTGAATCGATCCTTTTGTAAGTAACTTTCAGGAAACTGAAGAAAGGAAACTAACAATAAAATATATCTCCGAAGTGATATTTTATTTATGGTAAATATCGATTCTCTTTTCTCCGAGATTTTTTTTTTTTTTGGTGACAACATTTTTAATTTAAGAAGACTTCATTGGAAAATCAAAAAAGGCTATCCTTTTTTCATAAAATTTTAATTTTAAAATTTTTTCTTAAATTAAAAAGTTATTTATAGCTATTATAGTGCACCGAAAACAAATATTAAATTAATAATTATTTATTTCAATACTGCCTAATAAATCATTTATTTGAAACAAATAAATCTGTTTTAAAAAGGATTTTCTTAGATCAAATAAATATTTTTCACATCAAATCAATATTATTAGTCTCAAATAAATGATTTATTAGACAATATTGAAATAAATATTTATTCGAATTTAATAAATGATTTTTCAATATGTCCGGTAGGATAAAAGGTGTGGGTCTCTCAAATATATTGCAAGCACCGCAAAGATCTAAGAAGAATAAAACATACAGAATCGTTCTGAGGTTGTCAGTAAGCAATTCGCGCTTTGTAAAAAAGCCTGTTAGTAGAACAAGTGTCTCCTTTTCAAGTGACTCTTGCCGTTTTTACGAACGTCGTAATTTTCCAAGAGATTCCTTTCCCTCATCATGATCCACGCAGAATGCGTGAACCATTGCCTGCTTGTCGCACCAAATCGCGAAGTCAGAGCTCAACAAGTTTATATATCCTCGTTATAAGTTGCGTTATCGCTCCGCGTCGTAGATTCAAGGGTGGATCCAATTCAGTTCCTCGCATTCTTCAAACGACATCAGATGTTACGAATTAATTCGCAATGTGTTGCGAAACTGTCAAACGGAACTACGGTTGCGAAGAAGTGATTGCGAAAGCATCTGATTCTTTATTGTTTGATTGAAATTTTTTTTCAACAGCCGATGTTATGATTAAAAATAGATCCTTAACGAGAATAATATTTTTTTCGATGACTCGCGATGAATAACTATAAATAAAAAAAGTGCAAAGAAGCTGATGCTTTTCTTGATTATATAAACCTCTTTTAATCGTTGATAATGTTGTAAATTATGCTAAGTCGGAGTTAATGCGGATTCGATGAGGAAATAAAAGTAAGAAAAATATATATATGATCAATAACTCACAAATATCAATAAAAGCATTATGGTAAAATATTCGCGTCGTAGCATGCAGCCGCGAGTCGTTCTTTCTTTGAATTTTAAAGTGACTTATCATCTTTATCATGTAAAATTAAATGAAGAAAGTGATCGCCTGCAAATATGATGTAATGCTCAGAAACAGCTATCGTTTAATCAAACTTATTTATCCGGTTGTGGTCCTTTCGATCCCACATGTTCGTTCGCCAACTTTATAGATCTCTGCTCATACAATTTCAGAATCAATCGACACTGGGTCGCCTTTCTTGTCGCAAGTTTCTCACGATCAAACGGCAATGACAAAGACGGATATCGGTTTCGCCGGAGATCAACAGTGATGTAGTATAGATTCAATCATAGATCAGTCAAGACAATTCTGGAAAAACCGATTCCGTTAGAATAAATTTTTTTACGCTAATACCAGAGAAGTCCAACAAAGGGAACCGCTAGATTTCATCGACAAGCTGTCTTTCCTTTAAAAAAGATTAGGAAAAGATACGATAAAGGTTTATCGAAATTCGACGGATTTCATCACGAGAATGCACAAGAGATTCAATGACGCAATTGTTCAGATTTAAGAGCTTCATCATCGATTAACATATATAGCAATGGATTCCGAGCGCTGCACAGAGACGGCTCTCACGTTCCTTCGGAAGGACGAAGCGGGATTATCCAAGGTGGTAGTTTGAGCCAAACTATCGCGGCGCGCGTTTCTATAATAATCTCTCTCGGGAGTCGAATCTCCGAGACTTCTCCAAGAATCTCTAGACACTCCAAAATTTATCCAGACGCGACATTATCGAAATATCCCTCATTCAGATTTCTTCCCGACTGTTCGATTTTTTATTCGACGAAAAAAAAAAAGAAGAACCCCGAAGAAGAAGGAGAAACCTTTTGCATCTCGTACATCAAACGCGGAAAGTGTCCCGAACTGGGACAGAACCCCACCCGCGATCCGGCGATCCCCATCGATATCCCGATGGCCTCCGGTCTCGCTCCCTCTTTTTTCGCTTCTCCACGGCTCGTTCTCTCGGTGCCTTCCCTTTCGATCTTTGGTCCTCGCTACCATCCGGCCGAGGTTTACTAAGAGAGCACGCGTCCTCCGAAACTTCAGTGCAAAACGCGCGCTCGAACTCGAAGGATCCTCCACTTGACAGAGAAGAGAAAGAGAGAAAGGGGTGGAAAAGGAGACGGAGAAGATCCTGTTGTTCGTACGGGATCTCTCGATGCGACGCTCAACAGTTCTAGGGTGATCCCCTGTGTGTCTCTGTCCGACTTGTGATTTGTCGCGATTTCGGTGTTCTTCGTCCGGGGATCTTGAAGAAAATGTGGGGTCGCGAAATAATTCTCGTAATATCTTTCGCGCTCATAGCGCTCGGAACTGCGACGAGTAAGTGTGATTTTTGAGGATAAATCTCTTGATATAGATTTTCATGATAAAATCATTTGATTTTAAAATAATAAAGAATAATTTTTACATGTCACTGAAAATAAAAGGCCACCTTGCAAATAAACTACAAATAATGATGAAATCTTATTCAACATGTAATTAATATCTATAATAAATTTATAACATATATTTATAATTTAATTTATCTAATAAAATTCTTAAAAATATATATATAAATAGATCGTGTAAAAAATTAGATTAAATTTTTTCTTGATATATAAGTGATAAAGAAACATGTAAAATATTGTTTAATTTTACATATCTAATTTTTTACATGATCTATTCATATATATATTTTTACGAATTTTATTAGATAAATTAAATTATAGATATGTAATATCTATAATAAAATTATAATTATATACTTTTATCTTTATTCGTCGCTGATATTAGTTTGCAAGGATGGCCTTTTATTTCCAGTGACATATAAAAATTATTTACCTTCCGACATTTTTTAAGTTAAAACATTACATATTACGATATAAAGTAAGAAACTAGACATAAATAATTTTTATATGTACGCATAAATATTACATAAATTTTAACTGAAAATAAGAAAAGCTTTTTGTAAATAAAAAGTTTGAAAGGACAAAATGTCCCGTTTTCTATGATGTAACTTCATTAAATCATAAGAGTCATAGAATCGTGAAACAAAAATAAAAATATATATATGCGCATTAATAAAGATTATGTCAATATAGATTATATACATATTTTCTATGATTTCTCGGATAAGATGAAAATTGTATGGCACATGACACAACACAGAGTTAAATAGGACGCATCGGTGCGTCCGATGCAAAAAGCGATCTTCTGCCGATTGCGTTACGACGCGTATCGGATACACGTTACCGTCCTTTAAGGTTGAATTACGACACGTACGACTGGAGCAGCTATTCTCACAAGGATGATACCATTTATATCGTCCAGTGGAATCTGTATACACTCGATGTTCTAACGCTTCTCTAAGAATCACATGACGCGATGATTCAGAACACATTTTGCCTCTTTTCTATTATTGATACTGGCCCATATTATAATTAAATAAAACAGAACGTGTGTTTTTCTTCTTCTTCATTAAACATTATTTTTGACGAAATGTTATGCAATAAGTCATTAAAACAAGTTAATTTACACAGTCAAGAATATATACTGTCTCATTTTTACTCATATTCTCCACGAGCCGCACGTGGCGCGAGAAGTGACATTTGTAGTATTTATAAAGATGTGTTTATATATGCAACGACAAGAAGTATACACGGGAACGTCACGCAACTTGACGCGACGTTTAACGCTCAATCAGTCGCGCGATAATTGCTCATGCTTATTACCTCAATGTATCCGGGACCGTTGATTATTAATCAGTCTCGCATAATTCACGGAGATTAATCTCTCGCGGATCATCTTCCGCTTCTTTCTTTTTCCGCCATACATATATATAGCAACATAAATCATATATGTATAATGCGTAACGCACCGGTGACCGATGATGTCAACCGTGTGAAACTCACTCCTGCATCGAACACGCCTTTTTAATCTGCCATCAGAATGTCCGAAGAGAAAAATGTCGCCAGTCCGAGAAATTCTCTGCTACACTTCCGCCCTCGAAGCTGAACCACTGGCCGACTCCATATGCGGCTGCACCACTCTAATGCATCAGCATCATGACGTGCGAAATCTCTCGGTTTCCAGTAAGTTTAGTTTAAGAATGAAACATGCAGCGTTAAGTATATATTCTTGCAAGATGCAGTTAAGAAAATTAAATAAATATATTCACTCCAAAAAAGTGGTATATTTAAAATTTGGAAAAAATCGCCAAATTTCAAATAACGATAACTTTGTAAATATTAAAGACAGAAAAGTTTTTAAAAAATGAAAATAAAGCTTGGAATCTTTACTTTAAGAATCTATTTATTTCACTGTTGCGAGATAGTTTATTAAAAATTGTGGAAGACAAAACGAAAAAATGCAAATTTGAAAAACAATAGTCCGAGTTTGTCAAGGCATATGGCGTGAGTCAAATGTTGCAACTTAATGGGATAAAAAGCACATAATAGTACAGAGTTTTACCTTTAAAATGCTTTTTTATTCATCTCGATACGATGATTTTTCGCCGAGATATTCGCATTTGAATAAAAAGGTAGCTTTTTACTTTAAATGTGAATAACTCTGCGAAAAATCATCGTATCGAGATGAATAAAAAAGCATTTTAAAGGTAAAACTCTGTACTATCATATGCTTTTTATCCCATTAAATTGCGACATTTGACTCACGCCATATGCCTTGGCAAACTCGGACCATTATTTTTCAAATTTGCATTTTCTCGTTTTGTCATCCGCCATTTTTAATAAATTTATCTCGCAACATTAAAATGAAAGACTCTTAAAGTAGAGATTCCAAGCTTTATTTTCATTTTTTAGAAACTTTTCTATCTTTATTATTTACGAAGTTATTGTCATTTGAAATTTGGTGATTTTTGTTAAATTTTAAGTGTACCGCTTTTTTCGAAGTGAATATATATTAACACCGAGGTGACTGTAATAAAAGTTGACAAGTCCAATTTTTGAATCAATTTAAATAAAATAAATATATAATTAATTTTAGTAGAATTTTCTGTCAATTAAATTTACATTTTCTGAAATGAATGACATTATTGATGATATTTTAGATATTGTCGAATTGCAAAAGTCCTTAAAAGAGATGCATCCGTCTCTTCAATTTGTAATCTCTATATACGATCCCGAAATGACGCTCAGAACTTCCGCCATGGTTCGACAGGAAGCTATCGCTCAGATTATTGCTGTTATTCAAGAGGTACAGTATACTTATATACTCGCATTACTATCGTTTTATTGTTTTTAAATAAATTGTTATCAAAATAAATATGAAATAAATTGAAATGCAAAAAACATGAAAATTAAATCACGAAACAATGAAAAAAATTGATATATAAATTAATTAATTAAAGAACTTTTCATTCTTTCAAGGTGGATGGCGTGGAATTGAATGTGACAGCAGGTTCCAAAGAGCGTCTTTACAATTTCGTCAAAAGTCTGAAAGACGAAATGATACGAAAATCTTACGACAAAAGGATTTTCCTAGCTTTACCCAGTAAACCGGAGGATCTGGCTAAGCAGATTGATATTAAAGAACTCGTAAAGTAAGAATTATTTTTCTTTTTTTAGGAAAATATTTTTTAATCTTCAATTTTCTATTTTTTCTATTATAGATATATCGATCTATTTACGTTATCGACGGATTATTTGACGGATGAGGACGGAGCCTTCGTCACTTTTCATCCCTCGCGTTTGATGGGGCTCTTCGACGTACTAAATACGGATAGTTTGGTGGATTTGATAAGCGAATTAGGTGCACCCAAACAGAAGCTTATGATAACTTTGCCAGCTAGCGCATACAGATTCTCTTTGAAGAATGAGGTCGAGAACGCTCCTAGATCGCAAACCACGGTAAAGGAACCCACAGCCATCGATCGTAAACAGGTGCGCATATTTTTCAATTGCATTTATTAATTGCTCTTTTAAAATACAAAGAATTTACTTTACAATTGCATTTTGTCTATCGTCGAACTAATTCGATCCTCACCGTAGCTTTGCGATGCCATGAATGATGGGGAATGGACCGTGGAACGAGATGAAGATCTCACGGCGCCTTATGCGTTTCAAAACAAAACATGGATCGCTTTCGAGGATAAGATCTCGGTTGGAATAAAGGTATATACAAATCTGCCAATTGCTCTCTCAAAAAAAATTACTAAAAATCAAGAAATAGATTGAATACTTGCTTTGCAAAAACAATCTGTACAAGATGTCTGATTTTAGACAAAATACGCGTTGCTGCGAGATTTGGCGGGTTTAGCGGTAAGAAACATAGAAGACGACATAAAAACCGAATGCGAGGAGCCACTCACGGAGGAAATACGGCGTTCTTTCACGGAGTTTAGAAGAAAATCGCGACAGGCCGTACTGAACGAATTGGAAGACGAGCTCCATGTATAACAGAGAATTTATTTATATCTCTATATTTAATTTGTCGATATTTAATTTTTAAATTATTCGTTTGTTCTATTTTTCCAAGATTGTAAATTAAAATTTATAATTTCAGCAAATTCAATTCTCGTATCCTAGTCGAGCGAAAACGTCCAGCTACCGCGTGGTTCGTGTAGTAGATACTGAGGGACACATTAGAGCTGTTCGCGAGAACACGCAGACCGAGTTTGTCTGTAGAAGACAAGGTTACTTTGTTCATCCCAAGAGTTGCAACAGGTGAGATGAAATAGCTGAGATAACACGATCTTAAATTTCAACATAAGAGGGATATAAAGAGAAGCTTGTTTCATTTTGTCCCATTTCACAGATTCTATCGCTGCGTGAAATTCAATCAAGCGATAGAGGACTACTCCGTCTTCGAATTCGACTGTCCGGCCGGTTTATCATTCGATGAGCGAACCGAGGTCTGCGTCTGGCCGGGTTCCTTGCCTCAGGGTTCACCCTGTCCTGGTAGCAGCGAGATTGCTCCGGTTGCACCGAAGAGATTCGAATGCTCTCAACCTGGTTATTATGCAGATCCGCAAAACTGTCGCTGGTTCTTCGCTTGCATGGATCTGGGTATGATAAATTCATAAAGAAAATGTAAAGTTTATTTTTTATTTTAATTATTATATTTATTATCGATAATATCATCTAAATAATTCGAGAAAATTTTTGTGCGAATAAATATCCTATTTAAAATAGAATAAATAAATATTATTAAAAGGAATAAATATTATAACTTGATAAATCGACAGGCGAGTCGGAGTTAATGGCGTTCGAGTTTCGCTGTCCTTATGGCCTGGTGTTTGACGAAAGAAGATTAATATGCGAATGGCCCTGGCTGGTCCCGGCTTGCTCGGAATCTGGATCGGCTTACACCAGGACGGAATACAATTACGGAGGATACACCGTAGCGGGAAGTTCTTCGGGAAGCGCTGTCGGTGGTGGTTATATCACAGGTGGTTTACCGGAATACTCCGTCACGGGTCCCTCTAACATAGACTATTCCAAAACGACCGGCGTCCATGGAGTGAACTTTGCAGGATCCACCGCGGAATATTTCGGTAAACATACTTCCGGTGCCGGCGCGGTTTCCGGGGGATATGCAGGATCGGCTGGTCCAATCGGTATCGATTATTCTAAACCGAGCGGATACGGAAGCACGATATCTTCTATACCGACGTATACTGGATCGTCTGGTATACAGGTCGGTTCGATATCTCCTGGTACCATCGCTGAAAGTAATAGAGAATATTCTGGGTCCAGTAGTAAAATTGGCGATGCCGGATATACCGCATCTACCGGATACAGAGCCGATGGAGGATACTCTGGTGGATATACCGGAGGAATTGCTACAGGTTTCTCTGGATCTGCGACGGGAGGATATTTCGGAAACGTTGACGGAAGTCATTTGACAACAGGTGCAACTTATACGGGCAGACCTCCGAGTTATTTGGCATCCTCAGCATCACCCGGATCATCCGTCAATATTCGTGTAGATTCCACTGGTTCTAAATACGACGGTTCAGCAAATCTATATACAGGCTCCGGTGCGTTTAGTGCTGATGGTTACTCGGGTTCTACCGGCACTTATTCAGGAGCTCAACCTGGAGGTCAGCCGTTCGATAGAACCGGCTCGTCGTTTGGAATTCAATCGTCTCATCCCGGAGCTGTCGGAGGATCGACAAGAATATATGAAGGACCGACTGGATATTCTACGAGCGGAATTTTGCAAGGTTCGACAAGCTCAGGTCGAGTGTCAGCGACTGGTTTCGGTAGCGACGTCTCGAAATCCGTAACTTCAGGAATTTCTTCCGTCTCCGGGCATACGATTGCTGAGGACGGACATTTTGTAAGCGGTGGTGTATCATCTTCTGGAGTAATCGGCGGTACCTCGACAAGAACAAGATACGACGAGGAAGGATATACAGTTCCTGTGTTCTTAGTACATGGAGAACCGACTTATCCTTTGCTCAGAGCAGAAGATGGAGTGAGAGATCGTACTGAAACGCCAGATTACAGGAGACCCGATTTTGCGAGACCTAGTTTGAACGTTAGCATTTTTGGCAATGAAGTTCCTACCGGTTACGATGTTCGAAAAGATGAAATCGGTGCGTTCGTGACTGGTAGCGACGTACGAGGTACTTTTAGCGGTGGTTCTACTTCGGGGGCTGCTTTCAATTATGGAAATGTTCCCGGTGCGATCTCGTCTCCTGCCGTTAGTCAAGGTACTGTTTTAACAGGAGGAGGACAACCTGGATATATCGGGGCTTCCGGAACATCAGGATACGTGAATAGAGACGAGCTGCAAACCGTAAATGTCGAATCAGCTAGACCGGGAACTTTAATATACGGCTCGCCGACTCCTTCAATTTCCGTGCCTTCTTCGACGTTCGGTGGCATCGCCCCGGGAATTTCTGGACATACCGCTCCTGGAGGATACATAGGAAGTTCCGTTCGACCAGGATTCGTCGAGAGTTCAACCGGTAAAGCGTACGTGTCGCAAGCAGGAACAATTTATCGCGGCGGTGCCGAAACAGGAGGATGCTCAGGCAGTTCTTCAAGTGGAAGGTTGACACCGACGGGTCCTCAGGGTTTCAAAACTGATGGCGGATGCGGCATCGATGCAGGCAAATATTCGGAAAATGACCTGCCGGATTATAGACCGACCAGCGCCACTCTTCCAGAGTCTATCATTCCTGGAGGTAGAATAGAAGGTGGTGTTATTTTTGGATCTACCTCATCACAAGGTGCGACCAGTGCTGCGCCAGAATATCCTCGACCTACATCGGCCGTTTTCACACCGAGTGGATTTACGAAAACCGGCGCAACCAGGACAGGTATAACCACTGCCATCCTCGGAGGTGGTGGTAGCTTCTCAGTAAGCACGAGCGAACGCCGACCTGCTTGGAATGAAGAAAATATCAGTGAAAAAGCATTCGAGGGTAATGTTGCTGGATATACGAAGACATCGTCTATTAGCAACACTGCTGGCTTGTCTGTTACCTTAACTCCACCTGGCTATTCTTCAACAACTCCACCGAGTCGTGTCATTCCACTATCAGATACGTCCGGCTACTCGTATCCTCCACCTGGCTATTCTTCAACTCCACCGAGTCGTGTCACTGCACAATCAGATACTTCCGGTTACTCGTATCCCCCACCTGGCTATTCTTCAACAACTCCACCGAGTCGTGTCATTGCACAATTAGATACGTCCGGCTACTCGTATCCTCCACCTGGCTATTCTTCAACTCCACCGAGTCGTGTCACTGCACAATCAGATACTTCCGGCTACTCGTATCCCCCACCTGGCTATTCTTCAACAACTCCACCGAGTCGTGTCATTGCACAATCAGATACGTCCGGCTACTCGTATCCTCCACCTGGCTATTCTTCAACTCCACCGAGTCGTGTCACTGCACAATCAGATACTTCCGGTTACTCGTATTCCCCACCTGGCTATTCTTCAACAACTCCACCGAGTCGTGTCATTGCACAATCAGATACTTCCGGCTACTCGTATCCTCCACCTGGATATTCTTCAACTCCACCGAGTCGTGTCACTGCACAATCAGATACTTCCGGCTACTCGTATCCCCGACCTGGCTATTCTTCAACAACTCCACCGAGTCGTGTCATTGCACAATCAGATACTTCCGGCTACTCGTATCCTCCACCTGGCTATTCTTCAACTCCACCGAGTCGTGTCACTGCACAATCAGATACTTCTGGTTACTCGTATCCTTCGCCTGGATATTCTTCAACTCCACCAAGTCGTGTCATTGCACAATCAGATACTTCCGGTTACTCGTATCCTTCGCCTGGATATTCTTCAACAACTCCACCGAGTCGTGTCACTGTACAGTCAGCTACTTCCGGTTACTCGTATCCTAAACCAAACGTTCAGCTTGGAATTAATGGCGCGACGTCATCGATTTCACCGATTGAGAGTAATTTACCGATTTCATCGCCCAGGCCGTTCTCAAGCAATGTCTACGACGAATCATCGAGCAGCACTGCCAGCGTAACGTTCGGATCTAGAATACCAACTCAGCCGACCAATCACCGCTTCTCAACCCCGGTCTCGTCCGTAGTTTATTCTACTGAAAGTCCAGAGATTTATAAAACGACCCTCTTTGAAGCAGCTAAGATTCCAGTAGCTGTGCCGACTGTTAGACCTGTCGACACCGGTTACAGGACTAGACCTTCAAATATCCCAGTCGCAACCGACGAGCAGTTTATTCAACAAACTGATTCGAGCGGCAAGAAGGATTATGGTGCTTCTTTATCTTCCGAATATCTTCCAGCAAAGCCGACTAAGCCTGGTGTGTTCACGTCCACCGCGAGATACGACGTACCTGCGACAACTGTGCGGCCAGGAATAACGTACAAGAGACCTTCATCGTACGAAGGTTCTTTGATCACGCCTACCACGTACAGACCTTCCAATTATTACGTCGGTCAAGGTTTCTCGACGGCATCCTCCGCAGGAAGGACTCCTGGCGGTGGTTCTCCGACAAGCCTGGGTATTTCGAGAGACAAGATTGATAAATTGATTACAAACTACGACAGAGGTACTGCAAAGTATGTGCCAAACGCGTACAATACCATCACGGCCCCTTCCATTTCGACGACATCCTCGTACGAAGTCACCACAAAGTCCCCAGAAGGCAAGGGCAAGGTCATTGTGAAGTGGAGCGATCTACATCCTCTTCTTCTAGGCAAACTCGGAGCTGAGTGTACATGCAAAGCCGATCCTTTCGCCAATCTTCGCGGCCCGGTGAGGAAGTTGATCGACTCTTCGAAGGGCAAGGTGGATCTCGCCAATTACGACGAATCCAACATCTACGTCGATTTTGAGAAGAACTACGGCTCTTCCGAGGAGGACAATTACCACAACGAATATGACAGTTTTCCGGATCAACCCTATAAAATTAGTCCGATCGAAACGACGACGAGCATCCCTCCGTCGTCTTCTTACTTACCCGTGTCTTCGACGACGATCAGAACGAGAGATTTCCGTCCAACAAGTGACGCACCCTTCCAGCTTAATCTTCGAACTGGCAAGAAACTGAAGGACTTCGAGCCACCACCGATCGCTCAAGATCTAGAAGACGATGATCCCGATCAAATAATCAACGGCGCCACCGACTGCGCCAGGCCAGGCCTCTTCAGACATCCCAGTCTCTGTAATAAGTTCTACGCCTGTCATTGGGACCAGTGGAAGAAGAAATTCACGCTTCACATCTTCAATTGTCCGATCCACTTGACGTTCGACACAAAAGCGAGCGCGTGCAATTGGCCGAGTAAGGGCCCAGCTTGCCAAGCCGACAATCTATTAGTGTAAATTCTCTTATTAGACACTTGTACAGAAGGTAGACAAAATAATGTGAATACTTGTGAAAAAGGGATATTTATACCTGTTCATTAATTAAATGTTGGGTCATCATTTGCCCCCTTTCCAGTGCAATGTTGTCTCATTCTTCCATCCGCCAATTGCCCTAGAGATGTTGAAGGAGGAAATCCGCTTCTCACTCTTCCTCAAAATTGCCCACAGTCCGATGATATTAAACCATTGAGATGCCCAAACACTCTCTCTGGCCAGCATAATTACCAAACCCAAATATCCATCATGGATAGTTTTGGAGAAGAGAGTGAAAAAATTTTTCCATAGTGGCTCGATGATATTCAAATTTGGTAATTGTGCTGGCCAGGGAAAATGTTTAAACATTTTAATAGCTTAATATCATCGGGCAATTTTGAAAAAGAGTGAGAAGCAGATTTCCTCCTTTAACATCTGCAAAGCAATTGGCAGATAGAAGAATGAGACAACATTCCACTGAAAAAAGGCAAATGGCGGTTTAACATCTTATTAACAAACAAATATAAATACCCCTCTTTCACAAGTGTTCACATTATTTTGTCGACCCCCTGTATCTCCCTCTCGTCGTCTTCTTTGTATATCCACGGTTATATCTTTTTCTTTTGTACATAATAAATAGAGGGCGAAAGTTTCATTATAGAGGAGTTATATCGAGATCGTTTCTTAGATCGTTTTCGTGTTGATTCAATTCGAAAGATTGATTCGCCATATTACACAAACAATGAAAGACGTTGCGAGGCGCAGTATATCATTAAATATAGAACGACTTACTTTCACGCGATTCTCGGTCCTTGGATCCGATTGATAGCGTCGGTTTTGAATTCATCTTGACACCTAGATTTTCCCTCCTAAACGCGTTTGCATTGAATGGCGCCGATGATATATCTCGTTGAAATGAATCTCGTGGCATCGGAGAATGGAGAACTTGCGAGAGGGAACTTTGAAACTCGTCGAGACGTAAGAGGAAGGCTTAAAGCCAAGGCGATCGAGATGCAGGCTGCGGGAAAGCGTTGTCAAAGTGAAAGTAGTCCGTGCCTGCTTCGATCTAAATCGCGAAAAACCTTCGATTAATAATATATATATCTATATTATTTATATTTATACATTCCAAATTTATATATGTAAATATTGAATAAATCGCATAAAACACCCGTCTGCTCATTAATATATAATTATGTTAAAAATAACAATAGTGTGTTATAATCAGTACTTTTGTCAAGGCACAAAAAAAATAAATCCTTGAAAATACAAAAATAAAATTTATTTTTTATTCAATCTAAAATGTGTCGTATCCTTATAAAATGTTCATTAGATATAATAAGCGTTTCTTACCACAATTTTTCATTTGGCGTAATGACATCGCATAATTGATATAATTTATGATCATTCTGGGCTTGCCTTTTTGTTCACGATTCTTCATGATATTCCTGAAAAATATTAAACTGTTTAAGTGTGATGATTCTTATCATATATTACGTTAAACTAATTATTCGTTTCTATTATTATATTATCAATCAAAAATATCATTTATTTAAAAAAAAAATAACATCGATGCATATTCTTTCTTGCAATTCCGCTTTGATTACTCTGTCATCGAATACAATTACGATTTTAATAAACAATAAATTACGTGACACGAAAATACAGTCGTTAACTGACAATCATTCTTCTGTCGAAATATTATAAAACTTCAGCGAAATTTTATGAGTCACAGATATTGTAAAAAAAAATAAAATAGATAATTGTTTCGAAATATCATACTACTTCAGCAAAATTTTATGACTCATAGATATCGTGAAAAATAAAATCGATAATTATTTCCTTACTTCTGACAAAAATTATGTTTGCGCATCTTTGTTTCTCTACTCTTAATTTAAAAATTAAAATTATTTTCTTGATGAAATAGATTGATTGCTGTTTGTATATTCATGTGTGTTTTTTTTTTTTTATTATTCTTATCATTTTGCACTCTTGGACTGTCGGAAAAGAGTAATGGTTCTTTATTTCCAAAGTTTATTTTCCTTTCTCGCCGACGGAGATGAGAAGTTTTGTCACTTTTATCACCACTTGACCAGTCGACTTGCCAATCGACGATTGGAGAGGGGTCACGATTACCAATCAGCGAGAAAGAGAGCATTCGCCGCGAGTAGAACGGGACGCAAAACGAAAGAAAAGGCTGGCGTCGACGTGCGACTCGTTAGTTCGGGCTAAGAGGTGATATAAAAGCGTCCCGGGATCTGTCCAGGTCCGATTCGTTGCCTGTAACACGGAAGGATCAGCTTGATCTAACGGGAAACCCGTCGCTGCCACACCACTTTTTACCATCATGTAAGTTTTTTTTTTATATATGCTCGTACTATCTTATTATCATATAATTAACACGTGATTATTCCGATTTTACCAGGCATTGCTCCAAAAATTTATTGGTGAAATTTCTCCTACAACCGCATGCGCATAAATAATTTCCGAAAAAGTGAATTAATTCAGACTCTTCTATTAATAAATATAAATTGAATTTCAAAAAATCTTTTTCCTATATTCTTTTTATAGAAGGAAAAATAAAGTAATTATAAATACAGTCGGACAATGTTGGTCGATTATTCTGTTATTTATTCTATAGTAACGAAGATAGATATATTTTGTTAACGGCGTAGTTTCTGATTTGCATGTGAATGCACTCGAGAGGATAGGTTTTTAATAACATCGTAGCAAAGTACTAATCGATCTCTCTTCATCACATTACGTAAATGCAATAAAAAAAAAACGCGATAATCGTCGACCTTGCGACTGGCTTCGCTGCAGTTCCGGCTATCAATCAATCAATGTAAATCGTCTGCTTATTAGAATTCCACAAATATCGTATTCCCGATATAATATAAACACTTACGCGCAGTTGAGTTCTCTCTATATATTCAATAGGTCAACTTTTAACTTCGAGATCGTGCGTATCATATCAGAGACTATTTCATTTTGCTTATAGCAAGAGTTAAGTTGCATCATATCATTTTTTTAGAGATAAATTTTATCATCCATTATCCGAAGCAACGTCAAACTCTTCAAACTCTTTAATGCCATTCGGTCACAATTGTGCAAACTCTGCATATTTAATTTGTAAATATAAATGATGATAAATTATTTATATATAAAAACCTTTAACTGATGATTTTACGAGGCAAGAAAGCAAGAGAGGAGAATAAAAGACGCCCGCGCAGAGAAGACGAACCTGCGGACATACTTGGTCGAGAAGTAGCCGCGAGCAGTGAAAGTAGAACTCGAACCGACTGAACTTTACCGGGAATGGTCGCACCAGCGACATTAAACGTGCAGCCGAGCAAAAAGAAGTGATATATGAACGTAAAAATTTTCTTCCACGTGACGCGTTACGCAACAAAGTATTATCTCCTGTTGCCACGCATAAATGCCTTATGTTATGTTTGTTTCGCGTAATTTCAAAGCGGAACGCTCGAGTTTTCTCACCTCCAAATCAACATTCGTGAAAATCAGAACTTCGTATACGAAATTAAATTAGTCGCCCCTTTTTTTTTTAAACTTATCTGAAAAGAGACGAAAACACGCTATTTGTCGGGTAAAACTTAGAAAAATCGGAACCTAAAAAATATATTATTTGGCTCGTTGGATTTACTAGAGTCAAATCAGCTATTTAATGCGCTGACAAATATGTGCTTACTCATTCGTATATTTGAATAGGGTGGTGTGGGCGGTGCTGATATTGGCAGTGGTCGCGTTCACGGA